ACAGCACAATACATAGCTAGGAGTTCCCTACCGAATGTGCTGTACCTCGATTCGGTGTCTAGCAACCTTCTAGAGAAAAATGCCAAGGGTTGCCAGGAGTTGTTAACCCATTGTTGTAAGACTCCTCCGATTGCTGAGTCGGATGCGTCTACTGCGATGCTAATGGGTGCTCGGGTGTCCTGATGTGCGAGCATTGTTGCTTTAGCGATCAGTTCCTTAATTGTGGAGAATGCTTTTCGTGCGGTGTCGTCCAAATTAATGGATTTCGCATTTCCACGAAGTTGGTCGGTCAGAGGTTTCATACTAATGCGCATTTGGTATGAAACGTCTATAGAAACTTACAGGCCGTTAAACGTGCGTAATTGCTTGACGGTGGTCGGTTCTGGGTAATCCAGAATGGCCGCCACTTTGGTCCTAAGGGGCGAATGCCTTGAGCATCAAGTGTGTGAGAAGTCTAATGAGTCGGTTCCGAATTGGCATTTCTGAACGTTTACAGTAATGCCATGTTTTTGTAGTCGTTCGAAAACAAGATCCAGATGCTTGAGATGTGATTCTCTGTCCGGACTTGCTATTAGACAGTCGTCAACATACGCATGTACGAAGTTGAGACCTCAAAAAATGTCGTCTATGAATCTTTGGAATGTTTGAGCAGCATTTCTTAGACCGAAAGGCATTCGCAAAAATTCATAGAGTCCGAAGGGAGTTATGATAGCTGTTTTCGGTATGTCGTCAGTAGCCATAGGGATTTGGTTATACGCTTTAACCAAGTCGATTTTCGAAAAGACAGTTGTACCTTTCAAGGTAGCTGTCAAATCGTGAATGTGAGGCAACGGGTAATGATCGGGAATGGTTTTGCATTCAATCGCCGATAGTCACCAGTTGGACGCCAATCGTTGCTGTCCTTTTTAGGGACCATGTGCAACGGAGATGCATATGGCATTTGACGGTCTATGATTCCTAAGTCTATCATGTGATCGAACTCGTTTTCGCCAACCTTAGCTTTTCAGGAGCTAGTCGTCGTGCTTTAGAGAAAACAGGTGGTCCTGTAGTCGTGATGTGATGTGTAACGTTGCTGGTTACACACGGTAGTTTCGGTTGAGTTTTTTGTATCCCAGGATACTTATCGAGTAGTGGTTGATAGAGTGGGTCTATCATATGCTTAATTGTGACTGGGGATAATCTGCAACCAGAAAAAGAAGTTACGCAAACGGATAAATTAGTGCACGTGTGTCGATCACGCCGTACTCGGAGGAGTCGGTTTCTGCGTAGCAGAACCAAGCTTCGATATTGTCGGGCCAGAAAGGCATCAGTTGAAACGAAGGTGGGGACAAAGTCTTAAGCTTGAGTACTTTGGGTGTCTGTTCAGTCATGATGAAATATGAAGTACGATAATGAACGAGGGGAAAATATATATATCCAAGAAAAAACACGAAAAAAATCACAATGTTTAAAAAATAAGGCAATGATATATAAAAATCCCAAAAACGAACAGACTTACAGTTGCAATTAGGTGTACCAGATCACGTCGGTCTCAGCAATGAAGATGACACGGGTATTCAGTGTTTGACAACGCTTTAACCAGCAACAACTTCTAATATAATTTGTTCCCACCAAGAGAAATCTAAAGATAGAGTCGAGGAGATCGGAAGAGTGTATTTGGCGATTAGCAATATATCGGAATTCTCTGATCTAATCTGGCTAGCGATTGAGGTAGATGTTGAGCACAGCGTTACCACAAGTGATCTGGTGCGGATGCATGACCGAGCGCCTTCAGCTAGATGAGTCCACTAAAACATATGGCCAGCATCCAATGTCGAAAACTTAGAGCTATTTATTTTGGGGACTTATTTACCGCTACGACCTTATCTCTTATCATCTCCGTTCGTTTGATATTTTCATATATTTTAATAATTTATATTCCCACCTAATTAATAAATTAATAGATTGATCGATTTATTCGCCTCTTCCACTGCCTCCTCACTGTTTATTTCTGTTGAAAGTTTCAAATCTTGGATACTGCGACCAGTCAGTTGACTGACTTTTAACATGATAGCTGGTAATTTAGGTTATCGAGAACAAATTCATTTATACTGAAAATTCCTTAACAGTCAACTTCACTAAGATTAGTACAGCCGGTAAGTCATACCGCCTAAACTGAAAGGCACCAGTCGACTTGAACTGTAGCTTAACATCAGGAGACGAACACAAAGAAATCAATCAGTTTACATTGTAGTGGTAAATAAAAGTGTTGTCAAACGCTGAACACCTGTGTCATCTTCAATAATAACTCGACACAACGATATGGGATATCAAACAAACGACTAGAATATCAAAACAATTCATATAACCATTGTTGATGGAAGTCTTTAGAGAAGAACTAAGTCCTCTTGTGACTGCACGCTATGACGATTAATTCACATCAAACGACTACTTTTTATCACAAAAATCTAAAGTTTGAAAGAAACTTGTTGTAAATAGTCAAAGTTCTTAACTATGCACACTTAATAACTCTTGATAAATTCAATATCTCGAATAATTGTCTAAGTTCCCCCAAATAGATAAAATGATATCTGAATATGGTTTGAAGGACAACAACCGTCCTTGGGCATTTTTCCCGTTTGATTTTTGTGCGTGTTGATACAGATCCTATTGACCTTTTTCTGGGTTTGTTCATTCATTTCTTCAGCCCGTCAAATTGTGACGGTAATAGTTCATCATACTTCATGACTGTTTGTCTGGAAATCATCTGAAATCCGTAAGTAGTTCGCAGTAATTTTTTTCTGCTTATTTTCTGTTAACTCCTTCAGCACAACTATAGTTTTGTCTTATGTTTTGTGGAAGCTTATGGCTCTTCATATGTTGCTTAAAAAAAGTGTGTTTGCGGAGGCTAAATATAAGCTTTTTATCAAGTAGCCCTAATAGATCTAGTAGTGCCTCCAAATGCCCTGGTACGGCCGAGAGGCGGGAGAGTCCTCTCTCCCTATCGAAATGCTCTCACATGGCCACGCGTATATAGCCTCTGCCAGGGAAGTCCTACTCACTGCCTTCTTGTGGCATTACTGTTGTTTACGAAATTGAGAGGACGAAAAGCGAATGTCCGGCGCTTTAACCGGATTCCAAATCAATGGTGCACATGGGCTCCAGTATCCTGCGGGAACAAATGGCGTATGAACCAATTGTTGGTCACTGGCTACCACGGGACTGCGTCTCCTTACGATGCTCCACTGCCTTGTGGATCAGACGTTCAGGTCAAAGGCTCGGGGAGTGGCCCCCTAGAAAAACCACCTGATTCGGTTTGGGCACCCGGGCAGTATCACAGCCCTCACACATATCGAATGAGATTTGTGTGGCACATATGTATTCGTTGCCTCCTTGTACCTCAGTTTACAACAACGTTAACATGCTATTAGGACTCACTGATTTGATTCGGTCCACAGCCTAACATATCCACTAGTACTGTTTTTAAGTTATTAATACTGCTCTAGTATCGCTCATCCTAGACCGGGTGTTATTTGGATGGAGAAAATTACGTATAAATTTTACCAGATTATGAATTATATATTGCATGGGATGACAAGAAGTCCCTGATCTGTTACTTATGTAGATGTAAAGATATATAAAATATATTTATAGTTAACATACTGATTAAAATCCGGCACCAGCGAATGTATCCACAGATCAACTGCTTCTTGTTGCTTAACTAATTCCCCAAATGAGGAACGAAATAACTCACCTAAAGAGTTGGTTGAGACAGGGTAGTTACAGCTGTAAAAAAGCAGCATTTAAATTGTATCACGTACATCATAGTTCTAACTAAGTCCTTCAAGCTTGGGTGTGTTTCAGAACGAAAGGTATCAGTAGTGTTCACTTGGACTCGGTCACTGGAATTTCTAACGCCATTTTAATAGTTAAAATTCTATTTATTCGTTTTCATAGACAGCCTTTACTCATTGTGATAAGTCGCCAGATAATGGAAGCCCCATTATGTTCAGTTTTTACCTCATTAACTGTATCTGACTTTTCGTCAAAACTCGTGTTTAAGTGGACAATTTTTGAAAGTAGTTGTGCTCAATTCACTCAATCTACTTGTTACAACAATTCAGTGGTTACTGTCCTCTTAATATAATTGGAACTACAGCTCAGTAGCTAAAACAGTCGGCCATCACTTGACTGGTGATATGCTCGAGCCCCTCCACTTCGGTTTGTTAACAGTATTTGTTATTGGTGTTTGTTAGTAGTGGTTATTGATAGCAGAACCCCTGAAAGAAAGTGTGGTTCAATCACTCACGTTCAGTGTAGAGCCTGGTACAGATGCATGTTGGGTCAATTTGTCGTACCATGTTAACACAAGATGAACATAACCAGACGAATTACAAGAGCTAGAGGTAATGTAGTGGCTGTGATAGTAGAAAAGACTGAATATTGAGAATACTGTTCGATAAGACAAAGTGGAGAGGTTTGCATAAACAAATACTGAAATGCAGGCTCTAACGTAGTATACGAAATGAACACACCTTTTATGTTGTGATCGATTGTGAACCATGTTACGAATATTGTCCAAAAAGAATAAATCAAGTCGAGGAATAGGAAGTATAAAGTAAGGGTAAAACGTAAGGTTAAGTGAAAGACAAATAATTTTTGTACGCCACTACAGCTCATTTTGGCCCATGTCACCTAACGTTTCCACGAAGTCTGGACCTCTTACCACAATTCTGATCGGCGGTCAATCACTTCATGCTAATATTTAGGGGAGTTGTGGTGTGGTTGTCTAGTGGTCACAGCACTTGACTTTCGGGCGCTCCCAGGTTCGAACTGAGCTCCGCCTACTTCGGTTTGGGCAACCGGCTAGTATCACTGTCCCTCACATTTGTGGTTCATGTGCAATAATCAGTTAATTTTTTCTAATGATAATTATATATATATAACGTTTACTTGTTAATGAAGATCGACTATGTTGTCATTAGCGTGTCACTTTCTGTTTTATTTTTGTTTTCTAAGCGATGTCTGAGGAATCTGAAACAAATGATAGATATATGTCATACTCTCCAGAGGATAATTATCCTACAACCTCTAACAGTAATTCGGATGGTATGTCAGTCCTATATACTATTATCTTACCGCACCTTTTTGCTTTATTTTACTCAGTAATATTGAGTTCGGAGCTTGGGAACGAAAACAGTAGGCCATGTTTAGATAATTGATTTACTTTTATTAATAGGAACATTTTGCATATTGGATCGTTGCTGCTAGTTGTTAATAGAAAGTTTTGCTTAACTTAGACTGTACTTGTTTAAATACTCTTTTGTAAACTATTTTTTGATACTTGAGGAAGCTGACATCTGACCAAGTAGCTGAATATGCATTATTCATTGAATTCCTTTGTGTGTTGACTGCCTTCTGTAAGACAAGTTTAGTTACTGGAAAGCAACTTGTTTCATATTGTCTACATTTTCCTTCCGACGGGATTTATTTGATAATTAAATTTGGTGATTCAAATCTCTCAATCTACTAACCTTCCATTCATATTTTTAAAAATGCAATCAATTTTTTGAACACCTATAAACAAAAGCAGACGAAATAAAATAGGAACTGCGTTAAATTTATACATAAAACTCTCTGAGTAGGCATATTTTTCATTGGTTCACTGTGAGAAAATAACATTGGAAGTACAAGACTAATATGAGTGAAGGCAACTGTAGTGTGTGACAGAAGCAATAAAAACCGAAAGAAAATAAGTAAAGATAAATTGACGGTTGATATAGATTAGTATACTGTTACGAATATAGCAACAACTTTCGAAACATTGCTTGCTGACCCCGTCGAGAAATCCTGCACCTTCTTATGCCACTGAAATCAACAATTAGTGAATCTATGGATCAATGTCATATTTCGGGCACAAATCACATACCTCAACTAACTAATATTAAAAAACACAATGGACGAACACAGAACTACGTGCTGTGACGCCGGGAAATGATCAGTGGTCGATCAAGAGGAGGAGAAGTAAACACAGGAGGGCTCAATTTTGTCACGCTAATATGAAGTCGTTGTTAAAGACAATTCTTATCATTAGTCAGACAACGATAAAAATTCGTGGAGTGTTGATACTCATTTCTCTTATTCTGTAACCCTTCAAATATACAGTGTGAATTCATGTATGGTAATCGTCCTAAGAAGATATTTTAGCAAACTGATTTGATTCAACTTCATTCAGTATAGTACAAACTATCAATTATCTTCCATCTGTCTATCGAGTGGTTATTGATAAGTTTAATTGATAGATCACATGACAGCATGAAACATCTCCACATGTGTTAAGTTGATGTTTGGTTATGAGATTGGTTGTCTTTCAACTTGTCGGGAACTTCGTCTAGTTGGTGGTGAGCATTAGCTCATTCTGATAAACTTACCGATCAAAGTATTATCTCTATAGTTTCCTAATAATTAGCAGTCAATGAGTGAGGTTCTGTTGTGTCATTTTAAACATGATCTTCAAAAGTTAGTAACTGTTCATCAATTGACTTTTCTCGATCAACAGTTTGTGTGACAAAAGTAATCTTCAGGCTGTACAAATTTCTCCATAAAATGCAGTTTGCGGTAACCGTTTACATCCAATCGGCAACTTGCTGCAAAATAGGTTTCCCGAAGTTTCCTATGGGACACCGTAACTGATAACGTCAACCAAGGGCACCAGTCACTTAAGGTTTCAGTTTATATTACTAATTGCTTAATTCAAAAGTTTAGACCATTGTGTTTCGCCTCACCATGGGACTTACAGTTCTGTAATTGATCTTGTATGATATTTTGTATGTGGACAATCCTGCGGAGTTTTAGGCTAAGATGAAATAGCTGTCCAGTGCCCCTTTGATTTTATCGGTTCTTCAGTAGACGTTAGTGGTAATTTCTTCCAAAATATCATTTTCACACTCTTTACATTATCAAAGATTTAATATAAATTGAACTTTACGCCAAAATTAAATAATGAATTTGCAAGCTGTTTACATAGTTAAGGAGTTTTTCTTCATTTATGATAATAAAAAAGTTTCTACTGGATACTATTCAGCTGGAAATATTGATTAAATATTTTTGACTTGTTTTTTTTATGTCGATGTAATTTATTAATTTCTTTTTCACAATATTGTAGACCATACAAATCATCATCCTGATGAGATTTCATATAAAGTTGAAACGTCCAGTTCATCACCTCTTGGTAGTTTTACAAATGTCACACGTGAGCTTCCAAAACCTCGTAAACAACGAGTACCAAATAGTGCAATGGATGAAGCTACTTTGATTGGTAGGATCCTAAAATACCTCTCCATTTACAAGTATTTTATTATTTGTTATGTTGCAAAATCGGTATATTCATGAGCTAAGCTACTATTTCCTAACTCTTACTTCAATATGTTGAACGAGACTATTACTATCCTCCTCTTTCCTACCTCGCTAGTTATAGTAAGAAGTCAAGTTGTTGTTTAGAAGCTTTATTAATCAAGATCCAGTAGAATTTAAAATATATTTACGATAATTATATATAGATGACAATGATTATGATTTAGTAGCCGAGTAATTGTGAATAAACATAAATCACAGAGAAAAAACCATTGAAATTCCACGAACAGAATTCATACTGAATAAATTTATCTCTAATCAATATTGATTTTCTTCCTTCTAATTTCTAGTCGGCAATTCCACATCCTTAACAAATATGTATATATCTGTGAGTATATTGTTCTTTGAGTGTATTCAGTTTAAATACTAAGTCGACTACTATGTGGATTTCTTAAGGTGGGTTTTAAAAATCAACCAAGATTGCTAGTCATTTTGTATAAAAGTGATACAAAAGAACTCAGTTATTCACTCACTAACTTTTATTTTACGTGCTTTTTCCTATGTGGATTTATATAATTATCTGTTAATCTAGTTATATATTTGTGTTATGTAGTCTATAGTTATAATGAAAGCCAAAGTTGGGTACTTCACTTAATTTTTATTTAATAGTCAACTCTCATTTATTTAACAAATATGTAAAGGTAATAAGAAGAGTTGAAGCACGAAAAGTTAGATTAACTCTAATTAATCCCATGCCAATCTGAATGGGGCATGAAAAATAATAGTCACAGTGGTCGTTAACATAACATGTGGATTTGACTTTTTTCTGCCCAATTTGCCATACTTCATTTCAGGATAGCCAGAGCGGAGACTACAAAGATAAAAAAGGCAATAGAAGTTAAGGATAATGCCAAACGCTATAAAAAAAGTCAACCATCCGAAACATAATTTAAAAGAAACGAATGAGATCAAAAAATGAAAAGTGTAGAACTACACTAAAGGTTTAGAGGAAGACTGCTGATAAGTACAATTACTCTACTGGAATGGATTTTAGATCTAGTAATTCAGGGTCGTACTCAGTGGTAGATTACGAGTCCCAATATGGAAGTCTGGGTATACCAGGACGCTAGTGAGACTTGCAACCAGTGGCCTGATAAAATTACTGACTGTCGGACTAAGCTGTGCAGACTACCTAGTTGAGATTTGCGTGACTTGTAGTAATGGTTAAAGAAGTTGGGTAATATGACTCAGAATCGATCACAATAGCACAGACGCCTAGATCTTGTGTTTAAAAATAATCTTGAACTTCCTGTCCCGGATATTCATGTTTCTCGATTCATATTTTCCGTCTAATCTCTACTTTACTAATATTATTAACACTTTTACTACTCCTGTGTTCTTCTCGTTAATTTAATCTCATTATGCTGATATAGTGTGATAATTTGAACTGACGTACGTATGTGCCAAGTTCTACATTGATTATGATTAACTGACTATGGAATTTCATATTATAAGTGAAATTTACTGTTTTCACTTACGTATGATTCCCTTCTCTAATGATAATAATTATTTAATCGTTCATTTGTGCTCATTATTTCATATTTCAGCTCTCAGACCATTCAAATGTGATGAATGTGGTAAACGATTGGAGAAGGCTCGAACATTAAGACTACATAAACTATCAGTACATGAAGGTAAGTTGAAAAAAAGGATTTTCAAAAATTCGATACACTGACCTTCTTTTCTGAATAAATAGGTCTAAAAGTTGTGTTGGAAAGTATATTGTAGTAAATTATCTTCTAGATAATGACTTACGAAATAAATCTCAACTTTCTATGAATTTCAGAAGACGATATAAAGCGTCGACCACAGTTTGTTGTTTAACAGCGCAGATCATTAAGCCCGAAACACACAAAGTGAATTCGAGCATAAATGTGAGTGCGAGTGAGCAAGCAAGTATAGGGCGAACTACGAGTCGAATCGATAAGATTCAAGCACGTATACATAGGATGGTGAATGATTCATCGATCTATTTGAGCCAGTAAGATGGATATGTACGTAGTCTGTAACACGTGATCAAGCATACAGACATGATAATAATCATATAAAGATATAGACAAATTGTTACTGTTCGGATGACACTGTCACATATGTTAATTGTAAGGCTTGACAAAATTAAACAAATATCATTAAGTTTAGGTGAGGTGTTATAACGTCATCAAACTATATAACTCAAGTTACTGCAGGACTACCATCAAAAACAAGGGAGCAAACCATATCTGCAGCTATTTCATCAGTTTGTATGTTTTTCCCCCGACCACATTTCTACCTTGATGTGGTGACTGGACTTACATATCGTAACTTTCCCAATCAAGTTATGTTGGCTAAAACACCTATTCAGATCCTATCGTCCCAGTTATATAGGTTAAAGGACGTTAAGACTGAAGGAATAAATTAGGAAAATGGAATCGTACTACTGACTGTACTGCAGTATGATCACAGTAATGTGTCTCTCGGAAAGTCGGCTTCTGTGGCGATTTCTCCTCACAGTAGAAGGGAGGAATCAGTACGTTGACCTTTAAAATTTCCCTCTGCTTTCCTCTTGGGTTTTCATACCTAGTGATAAGGCCTTTTGAGTATGGTGCTAACACAGAGAACTACTCGCAAGAGACCTTGGATGATGATCTTCAAATAGCTTTCCCTTTGGCTCTGTGGTCGGTCTCCTAGGTAGACGAAACTATTGATAATCCAGTTTCTGCACCAAGCACCTCAAGAACGGGTGTTCTTCCACGGTGTGTGGAGACTGAGAGTGTCAGGTGTCAACATATTTCCAACACCGCTTGACTGTACTTGCTAAAAACGACCTTAATTTTATTTCGCCCTTGGTTAGGAATGTAATTGTCTATTTTTCTAGTTTTAAACAAATCATAACCTGACAATGTCACCAGTAGAACCCAATCCCTATTTATGACTTAGCTGGGCTTACTAGTCGCTTTTTCATCTAGAACCTTTGGAAATCTTTTCTAAGTAGGGATTCATAAATAATCATTCGCTTGATAATAAATACATCTTTTTGTTATATCCCAATGAGTAGAAAAACTGTATTTCTGACGTTTCGTGACTTAAGGTAAGTAAATAAATGACCAAATTAAATTAAATTGTGTTAATTTAATTCGGTTATTTATTTACTCTGAAGAAGTGGGTTACATTAAGTCACGAAACATCAAAAATACAGTTTTTCTGCTCATTGGGATAGAACAGAAAAATGTGTTTATTATTAATTTTCTACATAATGCTCAATTTATTTGAAACTATCAAGATCTTTTAGGAACTGAACAATTCAGAATACCTGTTTTGTATAATTTCAAAGTTATGTACATTGTAGAGCCTGATATGTGTGCGTCGGGTCAAGTAACACCGCTTCAAAGCTGTTCAGTTGTAAACAAACGTCAATCCGATTCTATGTATTCTCATTTTATTTATCTCGAAAGGTCTCGTAATCTGTTTCATCCCTTTCGAGACTCGACCTTTGATGTAATGCTAAAAGAATAAAAGGTTTTGTCTTCTGATACGAAGTACGATAATACTAGATTGAGTGATAGACTGAGCAAACTAGATCACGTCATACACCGGTTAACAACTCCGCCTAACGGTTGAGAACCAGATTATCGATCAGACACTGATTTTATTCACACAAATACTAGCAGTTAACACGGTATAACTTAGGTTAGAAATCAGAGTTCCAACATAAAACCGTTATTTGCATGACAAATTATAGACGGGCTCTCTGTCTTCGCTCTGTAACCAGTCACAACTCACTTTCACCTGATATATAGTACACTTGGCATACCTGCTTTCGTGTTGATTTTCCCGTGGAAATTGATGCTCAATGATCATAGCTTCAAGCTCCAAACCAACTGAGCTGCGATAATCTGATAGATAACTCTGTATTGTGATATTGGTCATCTACGCAAAAAACACTGATAGGTTTTGGATTGAACTTAGAACTTTCGGTCATTGTTGATTGGATATTCACTCTTATTAGTTCATTTACCGAAATTAAGTAAATGTTGATTTTATTTCACATTATTTAGGTCGTAGACCATTTGCCTGTGATATATGCAATGCTTGTTTTACACAAAATGGCCATCTGAAACAACATATTCAAACAGTTCATAAAGGTAATTTATTAAGCACAAGTATATTGTTTTACTAAATTTTCATGATAAATAAACCCATTTTTATTAAATTTATTATAGCTAATGTGAAGTTTGTTTCTTCAGTGCGTTTTAGTATACGATTGATGTAATACAACTTAGTCAGTCGGTCAGCTACAACGTAGAACCAGGCACTTATGTGCATCGGTCCAAGTTGCCATACCTCATTAGCACAACAAGATGAACATCGGATTCATGGAAGTAGTTAATTCAGTGGTGGTAATATATAAAAGAAAGATTGCATATAAGGATATAGTACAGGAAGAAAGAATTAGCTGGTAGAAAGAAAGATATGAAGCGATTTTAATCTCATAGTTTAAGGGAAAACAAATAGTCGATACACTGACGCCATCGTGATCTATTCTAAGCCATGAACCAGATTTCGTGAATTAAAGCCTGCCCAAACTAGTATAAGGTCGTATGGTTTGATATGTAAGCTGTTTATTTACCACTAGTTCGTTCAGTTTATCCAGTTTTATAAAGAAGATATACAGCATTCATATCATATTTTGTTTTCTAAAGTTAGGCATTCCATAACTGCTATTGATCCGATAATAAACAATCGTTTTCATACTTTAAAAGGACTTAACACTTTTCATTCGTTTGTACCAGCTCTATCCATGGTTTTAAATCTCTTACGGTCTACAACAAGTGGCAATAGTTAATGCGTTGTTAATACATTTGTAGACTAAAATAATATATTCACAGCTCCGACTTCATTGAAGTGAACAAAACTACTTCTATCCTTTTCTTCCCTGCTTCATTAATTAGCGAGTGAAATCCTAATCGTAATGAAAGCTCTGTTGGCGGTGATCACCAGTGATGAAGTTGCATAAGATTACTTATCGTAGGTTGTTTTTTTAGTTCATTGATAGGATCGTAAATTGATCTCTTAAGAAAATCAAATACTTTAGTTCATTTAGGTGAAGTATATTGTAATATTCATGTAATTAATGAGCAAACAGGTAAGATTGAGATATTCAACTCATTGATCGGATCTATGAGTGTGTATACTGATTTACATTTTGTTCATTTAATTACTTAAATCGTATATACTATTGTATACCGAATGACACCTTTTCTGTCTCTATTCAGGATTACGACCGTATAGTTGTGATGTTTGTAATAAACGTTTCACTAAAGCCCGTTCATTGAGGCGGCATAATTGTGAAAAAAGTGGTCGTAAGTTGCCTTTCGTTGTAATATTTTTATTTCATTGTGAGTTTCATTTAGTGTTATGCATACGCATAAAACAGGGTTACTTGTAATTGTTGCCGTCCGTATGCTTCTAGTAGTACTCTTGTTTGATAATAATTCTCTTCATTATTCTTTAAACTCTCATCTATCCATTATAATTCTTTGTTTTCTGTCATCATCTTCCTCATGTACAAACAGTTCTGACAATTTAACCGTAAAAAATATGTTTAACGTTAATGGGCTTTATAGTAATGAATCTCTCATGCATTCTTGTCTCAATACTGATCAAAGTCTACTAGCTCGATTAAACTATTGAAGGATATAAGTATGGAACTTGGGAAATCCGAGTTTTTACAATTACATTTTGAGATCAAGCCAAGAGTTTCCAAAATAGAGTTGTACTTGCTCAACAAAAATGCTAATTATTCACAGAAGATTATATTGGTCACACATTGTTAGTCGTAAGATATATGGCAGTTGACCGTACGGTTAATAAACTGAAGTTTAGGCTTACAGTATTTATCCCCTTCTTCAATGACTAACTTGTGTCTATAACAGAAATTGTTACTTTAACTGTTCTCAATGAGTTTAATTGAGTTTATTTAAATCATCCATATTGTTATGTATTTATAATTCTTAGAGCTCTTAGAGCTCATGTGATTGAACCGACTAATAATCTGAAACAGCTGAATATTCAAATCTATTTATCAATTATTTCGCTTATTGTCTATAGAACCAATGACCTTCTCTAGATCAGTCACTCAATAACCATGACCTTAATGTATATCATCAGCTCACGAGTTACTTTTATCCCAGTGTTCAATCAAAAGACGAAGCTAACAAACAAAGTCATTCTATTATCTTATTGTTTTAAAAACTCAAATTTGTATACATTAATTACTTAGTCAGACAATCTTACAAATAGGAAGTTATAATATATATACAACGGAGCTATAAGTGATATAAAAACGGAGGAATAGGGAAATGACTAATTAAGTTTTTGACTGAGATCACGGATCGATTGATGTTGGATTACTATTGAAAACCTGGAAGCACTGGGACTCCCCAGCAGTGCGCATCCACGATCCCGCACGCGAGACTCGAACCCAGGGACTAAGTCTCGCGCGCGAACGCTTAACCTCTAGACCACTGAGCCGCCCGGCTTCCAACGGTGTTAATGTCTAACTCCAACCAGTTCACGAAATTGCGCGACCATCTTCCATTGTACTGAGGTAGATGCCTGTCTCCAACAATAATTTAGGAATGATGAAACTTATCATAACAGTTTATGCATTAAATGAAAGTTTATAAAATGTGATAATATTGAAGTACCATAATCCATGTATTTAGTAGTTACGCTGTAATGTATGCTACTTATATCTGTCGACATAAATAGTATATAAGACCAATCGGCTGTAGAAACTCTGGCAACAGGAAGCTAAGAAGCCCAAGTTAAAGAGAATAGAAGTGAAAATAGAGAAGAATTGTGAAGTGGAAGAACCATACAGAATGTAAAGGGAAAATGATGGAGATTTTCAAAAATTTACCCTTTCTCAATCTCACTTCGATATAACACCTTTTCAAAAAAAAGCCATTTCTGATGTACGTTTCATACTTAACAGTAAACTGATACACATCAATAATTCGATGAATTTTTTTCTCTCTCTCTTCCAATACTTCATATTTCAGCATTAAAACCTTTTGTTTGTGATGTATGCGGTCGTGGTTTCTCACATATGCACACAATGAAAACTCATCGTGCTTCAATTCATGAAGGTTTGTTGAATTAAGAATCGCGACTAGTTTATTTCAATTCAATGTGAATCATTATTTTTATCAGATCAATTATTTTTACCAATAAATGTGGGTCGTAAAGTAGTGATATGATGCAGATAGATGAATCTTATATCTTCTGTGTTAGATCTTGAGTTCCAGTATTGTTTCATGCTGTTTTCTTTCGCAAATTTATTCCTCCTCTTTGAACTATTTTCTCCAATATTTAGTTGTTATTTTTACCACTGATACTAGTGTTGTTTCAGCTCCTTTGGTAGTTATCTTGTTAAGTTCACCTCATCATGCTGATATAATGTAACAACTAGGGTGGATTTGTATTCCTGTCTCATCTTGTGTTGATTATGATGGACTGACTGAAGTGTGCCCCCAAAATTCCCTGGTACGGCCGAGAGTGGGGAGAGTCAGCTCTCAAATGCTCTCACATGGATACGTGCATACAACCACTGCCAGGGAAGTCCTGCTCACTACCTTCTCGTGGCATTTCTGTTGTTTACGAAATTGAGAGGACGAAAAGCGAATGTCCAGCTCTTTGACCGGGTTGGTGGACATGTAGAGTCCACCTAGGGGAGTCGGAAAACCCTGATTCCAAACCAATGGTGTACATGGACTCCAGGATTCTGAAGGAACGAATGGGATGTAATATCATAAACACCATGTTAATCAGACTGATTCCATTTATACTTACTACAAGAGGATTGCTATTTTTCTACTAAAGAGATGTATAATACCTGGTTGCCAGGCCAAAATATAACAGTAATGTATGGTTTACTATGTTGTTTGGAATGATTCATAAACAAGAGCAGTAATGGAGATAGATTCATGATTTCCGTCCCCTTAAGTGTTAGACTTCCCATTTCGTATTCATCTATTTCATTTTTTCTACTTGAATTGTAGTTACATTTCTCTTTGAATGGATACAATTATTTAACCTCATTGAGATTAACCCATATTCATTTTAAACATCACCGTGATTACATGAGATTTGAGAATTTCGACCAGCGCTATCTGTGATAGAGTGAATATCCGGCACTTTAACCGGGTTGGTGGACATGGAGAGTCCACCTAGGGGAGTCGGAAAACCCTGATTCCAAACCAATGGTGTACATGGACTCCAGGATTCTGAAGGAACGAATGGCGTATGAACCAATCGTTGGTCACTGGTTACCATGGGACTGTATCTCCTGAAGTTGCACCACTGTCTTGACGATTAGACCTTTAGGTCGAAGGCTCCGGGTGTGGTCCCTTAAGAAAACCATCTGCTTCGGTTTGGGCACCCGGGCAGTATCCCAATCCTCCCATAAATCGAATGATTTGTGTGATGTACATATATTTGGTGCCTCCGTGTACCAATATTTATGTGTTTAAATAAAATAAAAACTGAAGTTTATTTGGCAATAATAAAAAAATGCTGACCAGTAGTTTTATTATATAACGGTCGTTGAATTTACCAACAACACCAAGTTTTATCATCGGAGTATATTTTTCGGGAGCTATACCCACCGACTATAGATACATAGTGTTACACACTTTGTCAATTAGTGACCATACTTGATTTTCAAACTATTGATTCACTCTATCACTTATTATTTATTATCTGAACACATAAATATTGGTACAAGGGGGCATCAGATACATATGCGCCACACAAATCTCATTTGATTTGTGTAATGGCTGTGATACTGCCCGAGTGCCCAAACCGAAGCAGATGGTTTTCTTAAGGGACCACACCCGGAGCCTTCGACCTAAAGGTCTAATCGTCAAGGCAGTGGTGCAACTTCAGGAGATACAGTCCCATGGTAACCAGTGACCAACGATTGGTTCATACGCCATTCGTTCCTTCAGAATCCTGGAGTCCATGTACACCATTGGTTTGGAATCAGGGTTTTCCGACTCCCCTAGGTGGACTCTCCATGTCCACCAACCCGGTTAAAGTGCCGGATATTCACTCTATCACAGATAGCGCTGGTCGAAATTCTCAAATCTCATGTAATCACGGTGATGTTTAAAATGAATATGGGTTAATCTCAATGAGGTTAAATAATTGTATCCATTCAAAGAGAAATGTAACTACAATTCAAGTAGAAAAAATGAAATAGATGAATACGAAATGGGAAGTCTAACACTTAAGGGGACGGAAATCATGAATCTATCTCCATTACTGCTCTTGTTTATGAATCATTCCAAACAACATAGTAAACCATACATTACTGTTATATTTTGGCCTGGCAACCAGGTATTATACATCTCTTTAGTAGAAAAATAGCAATCCTCTTGTAGTAAGTATAAATGGAATCAGTCTGATTAACATGGTGTTTATGATATTACATCCCGTTTGTTTTATCGTCTAACGCAACTGTAGCTAAAGAATAGCGAGTCCCCTTTCCTGAAAAATGCCAAATTTTTAAAACATATCCGTACACCATTCATCTGATTTTTTTATCATTAGCAAACCTATCGACTGTTAATTCATTGTTTACTTTCGATTTTCAAACTGCACAATATTAAACTTAATTATCAGTGTTTTTTGAAATGTAAAGTTCACCAATTGTAATCATTTCTGTGATAGCATTTTTGCTTTCAGATTAATTGATTTCCAATTATATTTGGATATGTCATCTCTCAAATCAGATGAAGTGGTTGCTTAGTGGTTAAACATTTCGACATTCAGTCACTAAGTTGTAGGTTTGGTTCTCCTCCCATGTACTTCGGTTCTGGCAACCGGATAGTATCATTAGTCTTCATACTTAAATTTTGGTTGGAAATCAAACACAGATCTACCTAGTAAATAAGTTGTTAACAAATTCGGTTAATCCGTCAGTTGAACTGTGAAAACGCTAAATTCATCATTTTTTTTCCTTAAACATCGATAAATCGCTTTGATCTTATTACTTATTACGTTAACAGTAATCATTATTATCAACTCATCAACCACGTACAGATTCATATACTTGGCTTTGAATAATTCTCTAAGTTCGAGGCATAGGGATGCTACCTTGTTACTCAAACCCAAGTAGGTAGGTTGGGTCCGAACTTGAAACTTAGTGATTATAAGCTAAACAGTCTGACTAGTGTGCTACCAGCCAAGACAAAAAATCTAATTTATTGTAGAACACAATCTATCACTAGTCATATTCAAATGGTATTAGTACTTAGTATCGTTATGTACTTCTCTATATGTTAGAGCTTAGGGTTTTTTATTTATCGTGTCGGTTATCGTTCATTTCTGAAATGTCAAGAGATTGGGAGTAATTGGCACCAGAATACTGCAACTAAGTTTCGTGCTGGTTGGGACTCGTCAGCAAGACATAATTGCAACCTCAAACTCACTGATGTTCCCTGTGGGATTCAAACCCGCGTCATCCAGCTTTACAGTTTCAGACATTACGACTAAGCTATCTAGGCCGTTTATTTCTATTGGACGAATAAAAACAGTAAATATAAACCTGATCACCTCATGTGTAGTCGTGTTTTTCCTCTTTTCTATCAGTACAATAGTTCCATTTGTTTTAGCGATTTCAAATAAAAAAACCACTTTAGATTGTTTTCTTTTATGATTCTATTAGGTTGTCTCCTTTCGCTTGTGGAATTTGTGGTGCTCGTTTTCGTGAATCTTCTGAATTACAAAAACATAGACGTACATTTCATGCAGGTAAATAAAGTGACCTATTCGTGTATGAAACATCACTGCATGTATTTTGTTAATCTGAGTTTGGATTTGCTATTTTCCATACTTTTATTTAATCACCAAATTCTTCTCTTTTGTTTATATTCAGGTGAAATTAGTTATAATTGTGGTGTTTGTGGAATCGCATTCCAATACGCTGCTGATATGCGTCAACATAGAGCTACTGTTCATAATTGTAAGTATTTGAAAAAAAGTTTTTTATTATTCAGTCGTAGACGTTTTTCGCAATCTAGTAAACATATGTCTTCAAGTTGTCTCATCTAATTTCCGCGTAGAATTAACATACTATGATGTCACACCTAGTGCTAAAGATGGAGGATTTATATTGATCGACCATTAGTCTATTTTCTCTACGCCGATTAGATTCCATCAATTTTGTCTCAATGTGACCACTAGTCCAAATAAGTTGGTATTGCATAAACTATTCTTTTTATCTAAGACTGTTGAAAGTAGCTGACAGAAAACCCTGCTTGATTTTCGTTTCGTACAACTTGGCACTTGTTAGCAAAACTTACCTGAAATATTACAGGAATTATTGTTCTCTGTGGGATGCAAACCGGCGTTTTATTTTTCAGTGGAGCAGTATTTCTAAGTGGTAACTTCTCAAACAGTAAAAGAGGGTGAACCGGGTTCTATGGGTCCAGGAATCATATTTGTTGTCCATTCGTGTATTACAGGTACACATTTTCTTTCATTTTCTTAGTCCAATCTGCTCGGTCACTATTTTTTTGACAAGACCATATTTGTTTTTTAACCAATGTTTCCAATGTACAATTAGCTGAAAGACCTCATGTGTGCGATATTTGTGGGAAATGTTTCGGACAGGCAAGCAAATTACTTCATCATAAATCTGCCGTTCATGAAGGTAAGTAACAGTATTAGTAAAAGTTGTATTATTGGCTGATAAGTTTGCTTCTTTAACTGTTTTCTTTTCCATTATCACTTGACTCTCTATAGATGAGTAAATAGGCACTGATGATGTAGTCGTCAGAAATATGAAAACCACTATTCCTAATTATCTAGTACTTAATAATGTAAACCTATTCAGAACCCTGGTTGTTTCTGCACTTAATTTCTAAAACTGTATTCATTGTCCAATAATTTGGCATACTATGCTAATGTATTAACTTCTAATTCAGATACCAACACTGAACGTCTTTAAATCCTTTAGCCATCATATGTAAATAGACCTATTAATTCAACTGACATAATTATAAATATACCCTGCATGAGCCTAGTTTTACATTAGTTTTCAAGATAATCAGACATGATTCACGCTTTTACATTAAGACCTAAATAGCACAACTATGTCCTGTGGCTCAATAATACAGGTCCCAAGAACTTATTAATAATCAATCAGTGATTGATTCTTAATCTAATAGCTTAAACATTTAATTTTTATTCACTAACGTTTTAAGCATTTGTTTTAAACTCCTTGGTTTATTAAATTACTGTCGGTTATGATTTATTCTTCTTATAAATTTTTTTTCAATGGAAGTCGGATTAAAAATTACCTTACTGATGACCTTCAGTCAGTCAGTGATCTTGAGTGCTGTTAGAGGTATGAGGTCGGCTATCACTTCCCGGTCGCCCACACCGTGGAAGGGTTGTTCTGGAGGTATCTGACAAGGAAATTGGGTTAAAAATGTTTTAGTGACCTGAGAACGTGACCGTAGTACCCAAGGGAACAACTGCTTAAGGTCGGTCACACACGACCTTTTTGTGAGTAATAATCGTGTTAGCTCCGTAATTGTTGAGACCTTACCACCTGAAGACGGATATTCGTGGGATTAGGTGAGGTGTGTATTTTTAGGGTCAACCTTTTCTAACTCCACCCCTCCTTGTGGGAAGGCAGCACCGCTGTTATTCTGGTTGTCCGAAGGAAACACCTTACTGCTGTCACACCTCTATACAGTCATCAGTACGAATTCTCCCTTGACATTGGGTTTGCTGCCTTTAGTCCTATAGACCTGTTTGCCATGGTAAGACCTTGAGGAACGGTTGTTCCAGCCAGTATAGCTCGGTTGATTCATCACGACAGACAAACCTGACCATCACGTCAAGGTAGCAACAATGGTCGGGATGACCTTCAGTAACACTTAAAATGACTTTGAGAAACTAATGCATTCCTTTTTTAACAATCAGAATGTTGTTGATTAAAATGATGGGGTTATTTTACAAAGAAACTTGAAAAACAGATTACATTGGGGTTAGGATCAGGATTTAGAGAGTTAGGGTTAGGAGTTTAGATTAGTATTTCAGTTTAAGGCTAGAATGTAATAGTAATAGTTAAGAATAGAATGGTAGACTGCTGTTGTAACCATATAAATAAATATAGGTATCCATATCAAAGTTGGACTTGATAGTTTTAAATAAATTGAGCATTGGGTAGAGAGTTAATAATAAATACACTTTTTGTTGTATCCTAATGAGTAGAATGTTGTATTTCTGACGATGTTTCGTGACTTAATATAATCCACTTCTTCAAAGTAAGTAGATAACCAACATTAAGTTAACACAATTTTACTTATTTACTCTGAAGAAGTATAAGTTACTTTTGGGTGTTTTAATCTACATTCCTAATCACTATCACATGTCTACTACTACTTGTCATTCATTTAACATTCATTGGTTTATTTCTGTATGTTATTTTGTTTCTTCCACTGTACAAAATTATAAAATAAATTATCATCTTTTAGGGAAACGTCCACATTTATGCGATATCTGTGGTGCTCGTTTCACACAAAGTGTTCATCTGAAACAGCATAAAGCATCAGTTCACGAAGGTAAATGCACCCTTTAGTGTTATTGATTGTATCATGAATTATTATGGCAGTATATATATATATATATATATATATATTATATGATGTTAGTTGATATGGAGTCCCAATCAGAAGTAGCTTAATGAAAGTGTCAAAATGGGTCAATCTCCTAAGGATGGCTGGTATATATATTTTATTCGGTAGTCCAATACACTTTCTCGTTCAAGTAGTCAGTTTATGAGGTTAGCGCATAGCATACCATGTATCAATATCAGATTTCGGAAAGCGCACGTCACAACAGTAATCCAGAAAAAGGTTGGTATGCTGCGAATTGGTAACTGCGACACAGTATTAACAAGTATTTGTTTACATGGCTTAGATGATAACGTATGGTTGTTCAATTCATACTATTTATTATTCCCTCTCATAGTTCACCAATCCAAGTGAATTTCTATGATAAAAATCAATGGATAATGCATTGAACAATGCATATATCTAGCGGATACATTTTTTCAACTTGACCAACTATTTCATGACAATATCAGAAGACAACACTACTTATAATTGATACAAATTGAAATTTATTAAAGATACAACTCTCTGTCAATTTAAAAGTACAATAGAAAGTTAATTGAAAAGTTTTACGGTCATTAATCCAACAATGAAATCACCTAAGTAACTGGATTTTTCATATCTCATTAAGTATCATGAATTAAAATTGAAGTAAACAATTTTCGACATCATCAGTTTAATAGTCTAAGTGGTTTATTATCTAGTTCAATTCTTTCTTCAATCGTTACATCACATTTACCGACAAGTACCATTAAATGTGTAACTTAAACTTACTACTCTATTTTCATCTACGTTCTGAACTGTTATTACCCATTCTTTTCTCTTTAAAATAACAACCAACTATCAGTTTGATAATTGTTAATATTTCCGTTTTTTTTTTCATTTATTTATTGTTGTGGTTAATTCAGGTAAAAAACCTTATCAATGCAATTTTTGCCAGCGAAGATTCACTCAACTTGGACATGTCCGTGTTCATAAGTGTGTTGTAGATCAAGGTAAAGTAGAAGTGTTTTATATATCAACCTCATTGGTATGTTTTTATTTGTCGATTGTTAATCAATCAACAAAAATCAGCGTAAACATTCTTTAAAATGAATCGGTTGTCTGTCCATTGTTTATCTCTTTCCTTCTAATGTTTTCATGTTTAACATTACACTACTTAATAACACGTAGTAGTTTCAGTTTTGTTAAATCATGTTTACAGTTTTGGCGAACGACACAGAATTGCACTGATATTGTCCAAAGAAATACAAAAAACTCTCATAAAGTGGGAAACTCATGGCTTCAATATAGTCAAGCTATCATTCAAACGAAAAATGGAAGTTATTGCGGTAAATGTCAAAGTGCTACAAACTCACAGATGATATCAACGTTCATAGACCAGTTTTATGTAAGGCTGCAGTCCACCGTATAGAAATCCCAAGGAAGAAAACTTACCATCTTTATGGGAGATCTAAACACCAAAATAAGGATGGACAGTGCTAGATGTTAATTCATCATTTAGTGACATGAACTAGAAGAAAGTAACGAAAATGACGAGAGACTGGTAAGGATTCTGGAATATTCTCCCGAAAGATGATTGAGTGGAATGTCTTCGTTTCTTTCTAAGCTTCCTCTAATTCACCTATGGGCCGTCCTCACAGTTTGGATTTAAGATGATGTTTTATCTTATTTTTCTTTGAGATTTTTGTTAATGTTTGTTCATGGAAGTTTCTTTTTGTTTGACTAAAAAAACTGTGAGATCTCGGAGATCAAATCAATTTTCTATAAGTTCTTTAGTTATCTTTTCTTGTAATTCTTTCCCTTCAAAGGTTTCAAACGTCACACCTGTGATGTATGCGGTAAACAGTTTACACAGTTAGGCACTTTGAAGAAACATATTGCTGGTGTACATGAAAGTAAGTTTATTAATAATACTTCTAATGTTATTATCCTCGCGGTTTTGAATTTAATATAACAGTTTGCATAGGAGATCTGTTATATTTGAACTCTCTGAATTTGACATTGATGACTTGTTTCAATATTTAAGCCACCTATTTTTTCAACCATCATTATATCAATACAAATTACCAATTTTTGTTGTTTTTATGTGTCATTCATGTCAGTTAAACATTTAACTTTTTCATACGCTTATATCCATTGATATACGAAGCCCATCACCTTTCAAAGTATAGTAACATTTACTCTGTGACATTTCAACGGTTAATAAAACTCATTAAAAAGAATGAAAACTAAATTAATTTATTTTTCGTGGATTATCTAGTTTTAACTCTATATCACTAATAAGAATGTCGCGAACGAGAACACAATTGGGAACAACCAAACGTATTTGAATACAAGATGACAGAATATCTTAGTAAAATCTATGAACCATACTTTATTCGCAAAATGTCAATCAATTGTCTCAGAGTTGATTGCACCTTTGTTTCCACACCAATCACTTTCTGTTCTCGTTCTCTTCTCTTTGAGCTTCTCAGCCGTCTGTCGTCAGGTATTTCTATTGATGATACATACTATTTATATCTGTCGACATCAGTAGCACACACCACAGGAAAGGTAAATTATCTTTAATTGTTACTAAACCTACACATGTATTATAATTGTTGTGTGGTCTAAATTCAAGAATCCTGGTTAACAGATTTACATGATGATAATATAATTGCGCTAGATAGTTTCAAGAATGATCATCGGGAAAGTTCAAACAATAGGAAAAGGTGTGCTGATGATGCAATCACATTTATAAGTGTGAAATTGTGTCAATCTAGATACGTGTATTTGAAGTTTGCAATTTTCTTCTACTGTCTTTGTTCTCTTTCAATCGTATGCAGTAATTTCGATTCGTGTAATTGTAGACGATTTCCCTACCGGTTTTCATGCTCTCGTAGACTTGGATTTTATTAATGATTTATTTTTATATTCGACTTACAAACTATATCCTCTTCTTAGTTCTGATCATTACATAATTCGAGTTTTGCCCAAATTATATGGGAAGCTTGAAAAGAATACATATTCTTACTAGATGTGGAGAGATAACTTTAGAAACTATTCAGAGGAAAGCACCCAAAATCTAAAAACCATGTTTCCGTTGACAAACTGAAATTTATTTAAAAGTATTTCATTGGAAGACTCAGTCATTCTTATTTCTGGTTACCTTAAATTCTACTTTATTGTTCGTTGTATCAGTGAAATAGTTTTTATAAGATTCGATTGGTTTCACCTTCTAACAGCTAAAAGGATTATGGAGCGAAAAACAAATCTAGTGAAGTTCAATGGCTAAATGTCCTGATAAGCCAGAGAATTCAAACACTTCAGTTTAATATATTCTCGAAAAACTCAATTCAGTCGAATATATGGTACCTATACTTTTATCCAACAGTTGTCTCTCACAGATCACAGTATAACTAACTGTAATTAACTTTCAAAATGTATTATACATCGATAGCTAACAGATTTCTATGTATTAAACTGCATCTAATGTTTTAAAGCATGTTGAAATTCCATTCTTACCAATTATATTTGTATATAATTCATCAATGTTTCGGATGTATTTTATCAGCGTTAATTATATTGCTAAATAATTCCATACAAGTTCTTCGGCTATTGAACAATAAACATTTACTTTTGGTTAGTCGTTCAATTCTTATCTATTTCCTAAAGCCTAGCGTCAAAGTCACTACTCGATTTATACTATATTCTGTCATGTTTCAATATTTATTTGTTTGAGCACATAAATATTGGTACAAAGGGGGCACCAAAGAAATATGCGCTACACAAGTCACTTGATTTGTGTGTGGACTATGATACTACACAGGTGCCCAGACTGAAGTAGGTGGTTTCTGAGGGGGCCACACCCGGAGCCTTTGACCTAAAGGTCTAATCGACAAGGCAGCGGAGCAACGTCAGGAGATGCAGTCTCATGGTAGCAGGTGACCAACGATTGGTTCATACGCCATTTGTTTCCTTAGGGTCATGGAGCTCATGTACACCATCGGTTTATAATTAGGGTTTACTAACTCACCTAGGTGGATCTTCCTTATCCACCAACCTGGTTTATGAACCGAACATTCGCTTTTCGTCCTCTCAGTTTCGTAAACAACAGTTATTCCACGAGAACGTAATGAGTAGGATTTCCCTGGCAGTAGTTGTATGCGCGTAGCCACTTGAGATCATTAGGAGAGGGAGAGCTAATTCTCCCCAGCATCGATCGTCCCAGGGACATTTTGGGGCGGTTATAGTAAATAGAGCTCATGCTTCATGTATTTTATTCTTGTGTATACATCTAACCACGAAATTTGTAATGTTATTGCTCAGTGAAGACTAATGGTTTTGACTGTTAATGTACTCGAATTTCAATCCTTGAACTATAAAACTTCACCCAGTGTGTCAGTTAAGAGATAACATTGCTAGCCATCATATCGAATTTATGGTTCGCAAAATTCAGTGCACAAATCTGGTTTTGATAAGATTCACTCCTTAATGTATAATATCATTAAGCTTATTGTTATATCTAGAACTTGTGTTCTTGCCATACCGCGTACAACGTGAGCACACGAACGTTAAAACCATTCAAGTCTCAAGTTAGAAGAAAGAAAGCAAGTAGGAAAAAAACTTATTCCAAACAGTATGAAATATGGTACAAAACACTCAGGTATTTCTAGTTTTCAGTAAAAGTGAAATCATCATTTCGGTCATCCAATCCGTATGCAGTGGTTTTTAGCGTTTGTCCAATCGGGTAGCTACACATCGAGATTCTGGAATGTTCTTCCAAAAGATGATTAGATGGAGTGTCTTCGGCTCTTTCAGAGTTTCCTTGAGTTCACTTTGGGTCGTCCCTACACTTATCATTTAATGTTTGTCATTGAAGGAGTTAACCAACTATTGGCGAAATACTTGGGTGATATTGTCCTACTGTTTTACTTTTATTTATCTTACTATCACTGTTTATTTTGGTGTCATTAATTCAACCAATTATTTTCTCAATATTTTTCACTGTTTTTTTTGTATTACACTTCTCTACAGAGTTACGTCCTTATCAATGTGAATCTTGTCCTAGTGCCTTTGGTACAACTAGTGAATTACGTCGACACAAAGAAAATGTTCATGAAGGTGAGTTTATGTTGTGGCACGCTGTCGATTACTGTTTAAGCTCTGTATTTGTTCTTTCATTAATATGGTTGATGTGTCAACTTGAACCGATCCTCATATGTTTTACGTTTCACGTTGCGTATGATTAACTGACTGACTTTTAGTCAACCATCAAATCCCTTCAATGTATGTATATGTTATCGTGTTGGATATCTCATTTCTTGATGTTTGTATATAAGTATGACTTAACCTTTAAATGATTATGAGAAAGTAGTGACATTTTTATTTTTGGTCAAAAACAGATTACGAAAGTATTTAGTTTTTTATGGAAACGAATGAATAAGAATCAAAGAGTAATTAATATGATAAACTAACTTTAACTAGTTAGATTTTCTCAATACAACCTCATTATAAATGGCCTTACAAAGCATCTCATTATTTTGTCAATTCATTATGACGATTACATTTTCATTGAAATTGCCAGGTTTACTTTTGATAGTCCTACATACTTATTTGAACTACTTTTAGACCCTTGATTCTCTCTTCCCATTACTTTAGTCTTATTTGAGTACTTTTTTTCTATAAATAGACCAATTTTTACAGGAAACAATAATGAATTAACTAGTAAGTTATAGTCAACTAAATTAATGAATATTGGGTTAAATTTTATATTTTCAACTTTGATATTCTCTTCACTTGGTATTAGTTGGCTTGTATCTTCCCATTGAGGTTTAAGACTGCAATTGATCAGTCTGTTATCGACATATGTGCATACTCAGTAGCTAAGTGGATAACGCGATAGCGTTTGAAGCGAATGGTACTGGGTTCAAGTCTCAGAGTGAACGTCAACTCTGAGAAGCAGGTACTCCAGCTGACGAGTCCCAAATAGGGCGAAGTGGTGCTTGTCCTGGATTACATTGCTAGCCACTATCCATCATTGCTTACAAAAAGTTTGATATTCTCTTCTAGTTTCCATAAATTGTATTGTTATCCATTTGATTCTGTTAATTTTAAGATTTTTCCTACATATTTATTTATTTCTAGGTAGAAATGCTCGAAAGTGTCGTTATTGCAATGAACTATTCAATACAGTAGATAATTTGAAGCAACACATAACTTTGAAACATTCCGGTAGTTATTTCACTTACAAATATATGTATCTATTTAATAGTTGAATTCATGAGTTAATTTGAACTAGATCACCATGATAAACTTGGAAACACTGGACGACCGTTCGAGTCCTGCTTGTGGGATCGTGGGTGCTCACTGCTGAAGAGTCCCATGCTAGGACGAAACGGCCATCTAGTGCTTCCAGGTTTTCCATGGTGTGTTCTAACTTGAATCAACTCATGAATTCAACTATTGAATTACTGCAATCTCCACAAACCCCGATTCTGATAATGTTTTTATATGTATTTGTTTATTTCGATTCTCGTTTGTTTAGCGATATATTTTTAAGATATTACTAACAGATTCATTTAATCATACTGTTGATAAAGGTTTGTAATATTTAGTTGTCAATATTTAGAACTGCCATCGATCAGTTTCTGCGTATCCTGAACAGATCGCTTCGACATAACGTCCTTACGCCTTTTTAATATATTTTGCATTTAACTAGTGGTATAATTAAAACACGGGTTTCCTTCTTTATGGGACTCGTCATTGGAATGTACCTGCATCCTAGTGTTGATGTTCACATCTTATTCGTTGAGTAATTTAACGTCCATCTTGACTCAGTAGTTCAGTGGATAATGCGTTGGCATTTAGAGCGAAAGGTATTAGGTCTTAGTCTCATTTTGTTAATTAACACTAGGATGCAACTCACGAGTGTCAAATGGAACAACAATCCTGTCCAGATTCCACTATTAGTAATATACTGAATATACAGTTACTTTATGTATATTTTTCTAAATGCCAGTTCTTTGAAAACACTCATGTCATTTAGTGGTATCGTAAAATATTGCGATCAACCATATTAGTTTTGTTGTGTGCTCTGATCCGATTGAGTTGAAATACATGCATACCCCTAACCAGCTATGCAGAATAAAAAGATTAAGAGTGGTAAGAAGCTTCATTTTCAAATTGCGTCTGTGAATGCACTCGTACTTATCACAAATTTATCTTCGTTGTATTATAAATAGACCAACTAAACTGCTGATGAGAGAGATGTAAGTTAGTGTTATCGTTTCATTTTAATTTGATTTACTGCTAAAGGAACACACATTAATGAGTCATAGAATTCACTAACGATACTTCTTCGGAACCCAATCTTCTCACCCTTTAACCTTTCTCAGAAGTCAAAAATTGTGTAAATTATTCCTATGTTGTGTTTTTCTTACTTAACTCTCAGGACAAAAACAAATAATGATTACGTTTACATTATTGTAACCAATTCTTATCCATATCATCTAGTTTCTTCATAGATTGATCACTTCAGTCAAGTTCTAAGCTATCATTCAAGTAATAAGTTATGTGTTCTATCATGTTTATTCACTTTTTTACGTAGAGAGAAAAGAATTCACTTGTGAATTATGTGGTGATCGTTTCAGTCGACAAGTTGCTATGACTCGTCATATGATCACTACACATGCCGGTAATGAAAGTTTCTTTGAATTTTTTTTTACATATTATGCATACAGTATTGTTTATTCCAACTGATTAATAGAAATTTATGGGTTTGTACTTTAGTTATACTGACATGATCCTTGTTTTTTTTATGCCTAAAGTCTAACTGTTGTTGGTTTCAGTAATATTATGGACCAACGTTTTGTATCCTTACAGATTGATTTCTAGCAAAGCTTTATTTAATCCAATCATTGTATACTTATAATTATTGACAGAGAAATAAGTATGGAGTTTAACCAAATGATATAATGAAATACTATCCTTGTTGTTCCGTTGTACTATTTAAGCTTGAATTAATTTTGATTCGGTTATTTATTCTCTGAAGAAGTGGTTAACACTGAGTTACGAAACGTCAGAAAATCTAATTTGTCTACTCATTGGGATATTACAAATATTTATTTATTAATTTATTTTAACACAGATATTGGTACAATGAGGCACCAAATATATATGCGTCACATAAATCATTCGGTTTGTGTGAGGCCTGTGATACTGCCCGGGTGCCCAAACCGAAGCAGATGGCTTTCTCAGGGGGCCACTCCACGAGCCTTCGACCTGAAGGTCTGATCCACAAGGCAGTGGAGCAACGTAAGGAGATGCGGTCCCATGGTAGCCGATGACCAACGATTGGTTTATACGCCGTTTGTTCCTTTAGGATACTGGAGCCCATGTGCACCATTGGTTTGGAATCAGGTTTTCCGACTTCCCTAGGTGGACCCTCCATGTCCACCGACCCGGTTAAAGCGCTGGACATTCGCTTTTCGTCCTCTTATTTTCGTAAACAACAGTAATGCCACGAGAAGGTAGTGAGTAGGACTTCCCTGGTGGAGGCTATATACGCGGGGCCATGTGAGGGCATTCGAGAGAGAGAGCGGGCTCTCCCCACTATCGGCCGTACCAGGGCAAATATATAATATCCACAAAACCCTTTCTGATATTAATCAACATATACTCGTTAGTGATTGGCTTCAAGAGGTATGTCCTAGAGTTCTAGTGAGAAGCAGTGATCAGTGGAGTTCAACTGGGTCTGTTGTGAGATAGTAACTCGCTGAAGACAATGATGAGTGTGTCGCTCAATTCGGTGGATTAGTTGAAGTTAGACATTAACACCGTTGGATGCTGGCCAGCTCAGTGGTCTAGAGGTTAAGCGCGAAACTGATAGGTCCTGGGTTGGAATCTCACGAGGTGTGATCGTGGATGGGTACTGCTGAGAAGTCTCACAGTAGGAAGAAACGGTCGTTCAGTGCTTCCAGGTTTTCAATGATGTTCTAGCTTAAATTGACTCATGATCTCAACTATTAAAATTATTACAAATATATTATTTATTTAAAATGATACAATTTTTAAAATATGGGAACAATTTTGACTTGAAAATGATATTTATACTGTTACTTCTTCACCTTATAAAACTTAGGTATTGTGTTTATTACAACATTTAGTTGTGTTATGTTCGACTTCGTTAACCATTGTAGATGCATACTACTGATAAGTCAAGACACATTAAAATAGTTCTCTAAAACTGTAACGCAGCTGAGTATGTGAATTGTAACACTATGAATATATATCATCAGTCATAGTCGCTATTTTGCTTGATACAAATATGCGCTACTCTATGTTGAGATGAAGTTTATAAGGTGATTAACGAACAAACCGTAATAATTATATTTCAAATTAATGTGATTGGTGATTCTAGAATGTGGAATGAGGTGCGAATGAAAGAACTCAAGATCTATAACGAGATAGAAGGTACATGAATCTACGATATTGTGACCGATTCTTAGCTATATTATCAAACGTCTCCAACCACTGATGAGAATTATTACGTGGACCACAACCAGTTGGTACGCACTTACCAACAAGGCTTAGTTGAACAATCAGTGACTCATCAGTATGGAGTTAGGTAGCTTGTTAAGTTTTTTATTGAGATCATGAATCAATCGATGCTAGATCACCATTTAGAATCTGAAAGTATTGTACTACCGTTTCGACCTAGTATTGGACTACTCAGCAGTGCGCATCCACGATCCCACACGTGAGATCCGAACCCAGGACTCTCGGTCTCGCGCGTGAACGCTTAACCTCTAGACCACTGAGCTGGCCAGCATCCAACGGTGTTAGGGTCTAATTTCCAGGCTCTCAATTGTTATCTAACATCATTTGATTTATGATCTCAATAAAAAAATCAATGACTTCACTGACTGATATCATGTCTTGTTTTATCTCTCCCGGTCTTCTTCCAACCTATTCCTACACCAACCAATATAGCAGGTGAAAGCACTCAGTGGTTAAGCATACGTAACATATACTCCAATCAGGTCCGTCGATGAAAATTTACAATCTCATCAGCAAATTTTCGATCCCTACATAGTATCTGCATCTAAAATCAGCATTGGTCATTCACTCGTTCCGTAAATTTCGAAAAATGCTTTGAAAGCCTACAAATCTTTTACATCAGTCTTAAGATACCAAACGTTTATACACTCGTTTTACAATACGGTGTGAATCATTCGTCCAAATGACTTCATTATTACTTACTTACGCCTGTTACCCCCAATGGAGCATAGGCCGCCAACAAGCATTCTCCAACACACTCTATCCTGGGCCTTCCTTTCTAGTTCTGTCTTCATTTCTTGGCGTAATATGTTCTTTGGCCTTAAGGATCCCATGTGAAGGCTTACCTTGTGATGCAGTGGGGTGCTTTCCTCAATGACTTCATTATACACATATTCTATCATTTTAGATGAGAAACCCAGACAATGTGGTATATGTGGTGTTTCATTCTCATCGCTGGCGGAATGGAAATCTCATTCAACATTGTGTAGTAATGGTAAGAATTCGTTTCAATTTTTTCTAGTTTTGATTGACATTAGTATTTATTTATGTTTATTAATTTTTATCCATGTTCATTATTTCGGTTAGTTGTAAATAATCCAGGTTCTAGCTCGGAAATGTGTATTAAGTCGAGTTGTCACGTTTCATATAACCATTTAAAGAGAAAAGAAGAGGTTGAAATTAAAAACGTCCTGTTAGGAATCTGAAGCATGTCGAGAATAATTAATTATTATCAGAAGGGGTTTTTGTGGATATTAAAGTAATTTAATAGTTGAGTTCATGGGTTAATTGAAACTAGACCGTTGTACTCTGGGACTCCTCAGCAGTGCGCACCCACGATCCCTCTTTGTGTACCTTTAGCAGCAAGGAGTAGGGTTGTTATGAAGAAGGGTTTTATGAGAGAAATTCCTAATGTCAGAATAAAAGAAGAGAATACTGATCGGATAATAATAAGCAATGATGTAGCCAAGTGATGACTGTTTAGAAGACCAAATTTTTGGCGTCAGTCTCCAAATAGTTTATGATCAACCATAAAATCACTAATCCGAAGAATCATTTTTTATGTACTACAAATATTACCATAAACAAGAACCTAATAAAATATAATAGTTGGATAAGTAAACTGATTTCGTAGGTCACTCACTCTTCCCTTTTATATCCAGGGGTTAGTTATACTATCCATTCAGCATTTCTTTAAAATAATAATTTACTTTTGATTTTAGATGCATTTAAACACGTATGTCAATTGTGTGGCGATCGTTTTACCACTGTCATTCATTTACGTTATCACAAACGAACTGTACATCAGAGTAAGTTGTTCTTAGTAAAGTGAAACTTTTTATTTAGATATTTAGAGAAAGACGAAAAGAATGAAGAAGTAATTGTTTTAATTGATCTTTTGTTTACTATCAATTATGTTTTGGATCGAAATGATTGGCATTAGTCGATCAGATGAGCTTGAAGGACTGTTGGAAGTCATGAGTCACTAACCTCTTATTTCATCCTAATTTTAGACTTCTTGAGACATTGCACACTCAAAACTTTAGATAGAGTCAAGCTTCAAAACTTTTAGATTTCGTGGTGAACTGTCACGTTTTTGCTAATTGTTTCTTGTTTGTTTTTATTGACTTTGATTTTTCATTAACATAATTCATAGGTGTCTTCGAAGCTCTTATATCCTGGGACCACCGAGTAACTAATGTAGTTGTTAGGAAACAGGTACTAGGTCAGGATGGCAAATCAATTGATGAAGTAGTGAAACTTCATCAGTTGAGATGGCTGGTACATGTGTTACGTTCACCCAACCACCGAATGCCCCGGCGTAGGAGTAGGTTGGAAGAAAGCTATGGGCGGCCAGACCAAAACATGGCACAAATTCATAAAGTCATTGACAAGTGGACTGAGCCATGTTGATAGGTGTAGACTACCATGTTGGGATCCGCCAGACGATAACAACCTATGGTTAAAGACCTTGAATGACATGGCTCAAATTTGTTTGCAATGGTTCAGGTGCATCCACTCTTTGTGTTCTTCAAAATTCTGATCTTCTGTATTCTTCGTGTCCTTTTTTCTCTCTTTCCAAATTTATTTCACTGGATTATACTCTTTGAATAACATCTTCAAACCTTAATGTTTCCGATCACTGCTTATACTTTTACCACCTCTATCCCTATGAGATTTGAATTGACAATTGTATATTTGTGCTAATGTGGTGTGGCAACTCGAACTGATGTACGTACGTACGAACTTCTACGTTGTTGATGACTGACTAACTGACTGATATTAACATAATATTTGAGTTACACAAAATCTCTACAAAACCACTATCCCTTATCTACTTTTTTTAAAACTACACCTCAATTCAACTTTATGACGCTTAATGTTTGTATATTAGTGATTCTAAATTTATGAAAAAGCTTTGCAACTAAATTAATTGGTTTTTGTGTTTTGGAATACTCTGAACTAGACTGTTTGATTCTGATACTTTTATTACTAATCTAGGCAACATTATTATAGTGTACTTTGTGAACAACTGAGCTTCTTAGTTGTTTCACAAGAATTAAATCATTTTGTTCTGGTGTCTTTCACTTGTAATTTGTGTTCCATTTATATGTTGTCCTCAATATTGTCCTGTTCATATCTATATCTATTTTCATCATCAGATGGTGTTTTAACTTTGAAAGAACATGAAATTGACTATTATCCTAATCATATTCGATTTCATGTAACTCAAATAAATAAAATGATTGTTCCCTTCATAATAATTATTATTATTTATAATTTTACTTTTTGCAGAGACTCGAACATATGACTGTACACAATGTGGACAAAGTTTTCTTCGTCTCAACAGTTTCAAATATCATTGTTGTATAGAAAGTAAGAGTATTAAAATAAAAGAGGTTGAAATTATTCTTTTTTCTGTAATGATAATTAACTTTTGAGGAATCAAAATCACAATGATACTCAGTTGTAAGACATAACAAAGCAACAACCACTGAATACCTATTAATTCAGATAGTGTGATGTATGCTATTTGTGTGTTTGGACATAAGTAGTATGTAGCACTGATCATAAGTGGGATACCTGGCAACAGAAGAGTAAGAAGATGTAATTGAGGAAAATAGAAAGGAATTGAGGATCGGAAGAATCATACAGAATGTGAAGGGTAATTGATGAAACATTTGCAAATGAAGTATTTAATGTATCCTATGATGGATAGTGGTTAGCAGTGGAATCCATTTTGACTTGCGTTCCGTTCTATTTGGGACTCGTCATCTTGATGTACCTGCACCCTAGAGTTGACGTTCACTCCAGAACTCGAACACAGTGCCGTGAAATTATCCACTTTGCTACTGAGTCCTGATAGCCGCTGGTTTGTTCAGTGGGATGAAGTTTAAATTCACTTGGTATTGGTTACTTGTATCTTCCCATTTTTATTTAGCACTGCAAGTGAACAGTCTCTTATTGGCATACATGCATCCTGTGCGGATTGCCTCGATATAACCTTAAGTCACAATTGGAAGATACAAGTAAACAATACCAAGTGAATTTATTTAATGTATGGTTTTGATATTTTACGAAGATATTCTGTAATTTTCTATTGAATAATAAATTGGTCATCCCATTTGAGTTCTCGTTCACTACTATAGCAACAAATATCAGGTTAGAAATATGAGTTCAAACAAAGTTACCACAGTCTTCTTTATACATTAGAATTTCTGTTTATTATGAGTCTATGAAAGATCTGACAATTTTAGATCCTTCTTACAGAACTAAATATTAAACTATTCTCTTATAATTTAATTTGATTTTTGATGTCGTTAGGATGTTCCCCAGGACTAGAATTTATGATTATGTTTTGTTTTGTCAGATAAATCGACCAGTGTGAAAACCGATGATAACTCCGTATCATCATTATCAACCTCAATCAACTATCTACACTTCAATCACCCGTCACTACTCAACAATCAACAACATCGGATTTCCCTACACCTTTATTAGGTATTGTGCCACCAGGGTCATCAAATAATCCAAATCTTACAGCTATTGCAGTTCTATCAGCTGTAGTCTCAAGTTTTGGTCTATCAGCATTGTCTTCAACTTCTGAATTTACGCCTAATTCACACAAGTCTACCGACAATACAAACAATACAGATCCTAATTGTGGTAAGATTGGATTATTTCAAACGAATTTAAGTATTCATTAGTAGTTATTGTCTTTTTTTAATCTAATCAAATAGACTAGTGTGTATATTGCATAATTTACTGTTTTAATTTCACTTTTAACACCAATTCTAAACAGTTATTTGAAAAGATTTTACTCCAATTTTCTGAACAACTCTTCACGGCGAGACTACAATTTATGGACAAACCAATCAGGGATAAGATAATATGTCATGGATTTTGGCGCGAAATTCACTCATCCATCTGGATAAATTGAGTTTTGACATTATGGCTGATGTCGGTTCGTGATGAAAACCCTAGATCTAATTCCTAACCTTAACCATCAACTGTAAATCATAATTCTAATTCCTCACACTGGTTTATAACCCCCATTCGGTCCTAGACATTAAGTGGACACTCATGGTCACTTTAGCGTCGCTCAAAGGTCGTCCATAAATTATAGTCTCAACCGATTCACTCATATTGTATGAATTTTCACAACATAATAGCATCAAATTAACAATTAAATAGTGAATGTTAATGATTATAACGTTCTATTTTTAACTAGTGCCTTGTAGATTCAAATCCTGCATAAACTATTTCGGATTAGATGGCTGAGTAGTATTGTGGTGTATGCTAATTATGTCGACATAAGTAGTATATAACACCAGTTAGAAATGGAATGTCCGGCAACAGAATGTTAGAAAGATCGAATCGAAGAGAACGGGAACAAATATTAGTTGTGGATGTACTTTTCAATCGGAAGCTTGGAAAGTAACAACGTTATTTCTCTGATTTTGTGAATAAGCACCAGAAAGTATTCTCTCAAGTAACTTCCTTACATTAGCCGGTCTCGCGCCAGTAACTATAGCCATCTTACAAATTATATACGTAGGTGGAATAATAGAGTGATTACCTCCACTCACAATATCACAACAGGGTATAGTGTTACTTACTTACGCCTGTCACCTCTCGTGGAGGAGCATAGGCCGCCCACCAGCATTCGACATCAACTTATGTCCTGGGAAATCCCTTCCATTTGCTATTCATCTTGTTGATGTCTGTTTCCAATTCCCGACTCACTGTATTCTTCGGCATTCCTCTTTTCCGTTTCCCTTCAGGGTTCCAAGTTAGCGCTTGTCTCGTCATACAGTTTAATGATTTCCTCAATGTGTGTGTCCCGTCCACCTCCAATGTCTTTTCCTAATTTCCTCTTCATCTGGAATCTGATTTCTTCTCTCTCATAGTAGGCTGTTGCTGATGATATCCGACCAACGGACATTCAATATCTCACATAGACAATTGTTTATATATACTTATACTTCTTTCTTGATGGATGTGGTAGCTCTCCAAGTCTCAGCTCCATACAATAGAACCATCTTAATGTTCACATTGAAGACTTTGACCTTGATATTTGTTGAAAGTTGTTTTGAGTTCCATATTTTCTTCAACTGTGGAAATGCTGTCCTTTCTTGGCCGATTCTGGCCTTTTCGTCAGCATCAGATCCTTTTTGTTCATCGATTATACTTCTGAGATACGTGAACGTTTCCACCTTTTCCAGAGCTTCTTCATCAGATGCGATTTGCTTGGTGTTCTCGGTGTTTTATTTGAGGATCTTGCTTTTTCCTTGTGTATGTTGGGGCCCACTGATGCAGAGGTTGCTTCTACACTGTCGTAACCTTCATTTGTTCGTGTGTATGAGATGGGATAGCTATGTCTTCTGCGAAGTCCAAATCGTAGAGTTCCATCCAATCTGTTCACTTTATTGCATGCTTTCCCTCAAATATCGAGATCTTCATAATCTAGTCAACGATCAGAATAAAAAGAAAGGGGGAGAGTTAGCATCCTTGTCTGACATCGGTATTCACTTGGAATCCATCTGTGAGCTGTCTTCCATACACAACTTTGCATTGTAGTCCGTCGTATAAATTTCGTATGATGTTGGCAATCTTCTCAGGCACATGATAGTGTCGAGGAAGGTAGCATAAGGTTCTCCTATCCTCACTGTCAAATGCCTTCTCATAGTCAATGAAGTTGATGTATATTAACGAGTTCAATTCAGTTGATTGCTCAACAATGATCCGTAGTGTCGCGATTTGGTCTGTGCACAACCGACCCTTACGGAACCCAGACTATTGATCTCGAAGCTGTACGTCTACTGAACCTTCCATCCGGTTCAGCAACACTGTTGAAAACCTTTCCTGATACCAATAGCAGTGTGATTCCTCTGTAGTTCTCACATTTTTTGATATCTCCTTTCTTTGGTATCTTGATGAGGTGTCCTTCTTTCCAATCTGTCGACACTTGTTCCTCATCCCAAATCTTCCTGAATACAACGTGGAGTATGTTTGCAGCTACTTCAGTGCCTTAGGTGGTGTGTTGTCTGGTCCTTCTGATTTTCTACTGTTGATTTGTCTGACGGTGATGCTGATTTCTTCAGTCGTTGATGGAGTGACACCTATAGGAAGGTTTGTGTGTGTTGCTTCGATGTCTGGTGGGTTCAGTGGAGCCTGTCTATCTAAGAGTTCCTCAAAGTGTTCCACCCATCTGTTTTTCTTTTCTTGAATTTCATTGATTAGTTTGCCTTCTTTGTCTTTGACTGGTTTCTCTGGTTTACTATATTTCCCTGTCAGTTTCTTCGTCGTGTCATATACTTGTTTCATATTTCCTTCTCTGGCAGCTTTTTACACTGTCGTTGCCAGGTCTTCCATGTATATCTGCTTGTCGGCTCTAATGCTCATTTTCACTTGCTTGTTCGCTTATATGTATTCAGTTTGTGCCTTGTCTTTCTCTGTTCTTGTTCGGCTGTTTTTTGATTGTTGTCTTCTTGTTTTTCCTTTTTTGAATATTGTCTATGGTTTCCATAGCGATCCATACCTTATGATGATGCTTCTCGAAGCCCAGAACCCTCTGACACATTGAAGTTAGTGTTTCTTTGATCCGTTTCCAGTTGTTTTCATGGTATTTTCTTCTTTAATTAGATCTTGTAAGGCTTGTAACCTGTTGTTGAGAGGTATCTTGAACTTGAGTTTGTGAGTATTTCGAAGGGAGGCTGTATTAAACTTTTGTAATGCTGTTTGTCCAGTTTTCCAAAACTTCTTTAGCTTCAGTTTCATCTTGGGAACCACTAGGTGGTGATCTGAAGCTATGCCAACTCCTCTCCTGGTTCTCTCGTCTTCCATTGACCTGAATTTTTCAGCGATACAAATATGATCTACCTGGTTCTCCGTGATTTGATCCGGTGAGACCCATGTAGCTTTGTGTATGTGTTTGTGTGGGAATATTTTGCCGCTGATAACTAATTTGTTGAATGCACATATATTTGCAAATTTCTTCCCATTTTCGTTGTTATCTCCAAGTCCATGTCGTCATATCTGGTATTGTCCATTCCGACTTTGGCCTTTAAGTCTCCCATCAGTATGGCCAGGTAATTTTCCTATGCACTTTGCTATGATTGATTGCGGCCTCGAGTAGAACTGATCTTTATCGTCTTCACTACTACCATTAATGGGTGCATAATATTGGATAACATTGATTGGGATTCCCTTCTTCTTTGTTTTGAAGGATGCTTTTATGATCCTGGGTCCATAAGATTCCCACCCAACAAATTCATTTCTTGCTTCTTTGAACATCATCAGAGCAACTCCTTGAGTGTGTTGAGCATTTTCCTCTTCATGGTCGGAGTACAGCAGCATCTCCCGAATTTGTATTCTTCTGTCCAGCTTGTATCCGATATGTTTCACTGATTTTGAGCGCTGCCAAGTTGTATCTCACCATTTCCGCGGCATCAGTCTCGTGAATTAGGAAGTATCTCGGCTTTCACCATGAGACGTTATAATTCTTCTGAATGAAGATCGTTCAGAGTTTAAATCATTTATTCTGTTTAGCGTTTTTTAGCAAGGTCGTTTCTAGGGGTTAAGTTTGCTAACCCCATACCCGCCCTCCTCCTTTATCTGGGTAACCGGCAGTAACCCTATAAGAGCTGCAGGTAGAGTTCAAAGTAATGTGTCCGACTGTAAACGTCGACTTGTTTATGTGTAGTGGTTTCAGTGGGTTATAACTGTTAACTTGGTATCCATGCGAAATGGTTTCTCTGGTTTACCTACTGTATTATCCATTTTTAATATCATCCACTTTAATATAAACAGCAGGATGATTTCAGTAAAATCAGTCACACTCAACATAGAATGTTTGCGACTTATGACTGAAATATTTCCTGAGTATCCATAAATAAGTTAGCAAATAAATTTGATTTTCTTGCTGATAACCTTGTATTTTCGTTTTTATTTTTTATTGTTTTCAGTGTCTACTGAACATCTTCCACACTTCCTACTCCTTTACTTGAGTTGGCACAATCACTTCCCAACTTTTTCTTCAAAAGTCCTGCAATCACAACGGCGACATCTTTAGACTCTTCCTCTACTCCTAATGTTATTGTTAGCACTCCGACCAGACATCTGCAATGAATCATACTACATTGACAAATGCTTTAGCTGTTCTCAACACATTCGCTTCTTCATTCCCTAAAAATGGATTTCATGTGCCAAGTATGCACAGTACTTCCAATATTAAACAATTAACTAGTAGTACCGACTCGAATACAGTTAAGACAGAACCAATCACTACTAGTACTACTATCACTGAAATTGATCCATCTATATTAATTTAATAAAAAGGTAAAATTAAATTCTTGGGTCTTTTCATTCTTTAATCTCCTTAAGTTTAAGTTGATATAACTGTTCGTATTTTGAATTGTAGTTTTAAGAAATAGACTATAATCTTCAGTCCAATTGATTCAGGATACACACTTTGCTATGACTTCAGGCCGCTAACTAACGTGACAAAACCACCAATCAGAATATCGATTTCTATGACTTTCTGCATTACTCAACCAACGACATACCAACTAGCACTATTAGCGTTGATTCACCTTCTAAATCCTTATTGGTCTTCGATTCAGTAACTTTTCTCCTTACCTTGACTGTTGAGTCCAGAACACAGTAAACACCCTCCATTATGCAAATATTATATTTCAAACATACGTAGTTTATACAGACACACGTGACCACATTACATCATAAAACGATAAGTGACAATTATGATATGATCAAGCCAAACAGTGGCTGTGAGTAGGTAGACTGTAAATAACAAACTGTCAAGAGATTAAGAATAGTAGATCATATAACAATAGTTAATAGGTCAACTGAGAGCTTATGATAAAAGAAATATAAGTATCCATATATATTGCACATGTAAGGCTTCATTATTTACTGGAATATTGTTGGTGCTGGCTTTACACTGAACGGTAATCGGACAAATTGAGACCGTGGTAATTATTAATGGTTAGGAAGTCCTTTGAAACTTTGTCAACTCTCGCTCGTAAGTTTTAAATGAACTAATTCGGAAAAATAACGTCCACCATTTGGTTTAACAAATAAGTCATCTGGTAAGGGTAGTGGATATGAATGATTTGGTAAAACACCATTTAATTCAGTTGAAAAGCCTGTACAGAGACAAATACTTCCGTTTGCGTCCTGAATTACTACAATTTGGGCTGAGTTGTATGACAACGGGACTCTAGTCAGTTTAATTCATTGTCAACTCTATCAATGGGCGCATATGGTACTTGACGTTTTAGACGAAAGATGGACTTCTCATCTTGTCGTAAGTATAATTTTGCTTTGCTAATTTTGCAGCATCCCAACTTATTCTGGAACAAGTCTGTATGTTTCCACAAAAGGTCTTCTATCATCATGGCTTTCTTAATTACACGAACGATGGGCAGACCTCTTTGACTATTTGAACTTTTCATCGTGCATATTTCGCTCAATAGTACACCTCATAGAATTAGTTTGTCTATACAATCTATACCAATAAGGTCCAAATCGTGTATGTTCATTAAATAATTTCCTGTGAAGTAGTTATTTCGGAATTCAACAGAACATTTTGTTTTTCTAACAAGCTTTAATATATCTCCGGATACATCTAGAGTTGTATTCGGTCAGTAATACTTATAGACAACCAATTAAATTTCATATCATTTTAGAGTCTCCCTACTCACAACCACTGTTTGGCTTGATCATATCATAATTGTCACTTATCGTTTTATGATGTAATGTGGTCACGTGTGTCTGTGTATAAACTACGTATGTTTGAAATACAATATTTGCATAATGGAGGGTGTTTACTGTGTTCTGGACTCAACAGTCAAGGTAAGGAGAAAAGTTACTGAATCGAAGATCAATGAGGATTCGGAAGTGAATCAAGGTTAATAGTGCTGGTTAGTGTGTGGTTGGTTGAGTAATGGAGAAAGTTATAGAAAACTACATTCTGATTAGTGCTTTTGTCACATGATATCAGTCAGGAGTTGTAAGATATAACAAAGCAACAACCACTGAATACCTATTAATTCAGATAGTGTGATGTATGCTATTTGTGTGTTTGGACATAAGCAGTATGTAGCGCCGATCATAATTGGGATACCTGGCAACAGAAGACTAAGAAGATGTAATTGAGGAAAATAGAAAGGAATTGAGAATCGGAAGAATCATACAGAATATGAATGGCAATTGATGGAACATTTGCAAATGAAGTATTTAATGTATGCTATGATGGATATTGGTTAGCAGTGGAATCCATTTTAACTTGCATCTAACGTTGCTCCACTACGTTGTGGATCAGACCTTTAGGTCAAAGGCTCCGGCTGTGGCCCCCTAAGGAAACCAGCTACTTCGGTCTGGGCACCCATGCAGTATCCCAGCCCTCCCATAAATCGAATGATTTATGTGATTTATATCTTTTTGATACCTTCTTGTACCCATGTTTATGTGTTTAAATCAAATAAATAAAAGCACAGAATGTTTTTTAAGTAGGTTGTCACTAGTGTATAGACCACAGATCACTTGAAGCACTATTTAAAGTTCTAATCCATGGAATGGAATGTTGAATCCAGGTTTTTATTAAATTCCTTACAACATAATAGAAATTCATAAACCAGATTACCAGATGTTGTTGTGTTTTTTTTCAATCTTTTTATCATATGTAGATATATCTAAGATTTTCACGTATCCTATAGGATCTACTATTCCAGAATCCAGGATTGTTTTCCCAATCAGACACTTATTTGTTCAACATTTATCTACATCATTTTTGTGTTCTTGCTTCTTAAAAAAAGTAACAGATAACTTCTTTACACTTATCCCTTATAATAAATTCAGCTTAATTATTAACAAATTGTAATTCAATTCACCATTGTACAAATCTTTGTTTAATCTCTTTGTACATTGAAAATTAATAGAATTAATGAAATTGCTTTATTTTTGACTCTGAAGCGTATAGACTAACGGTACATGCATAATGTTATAATTTAATCTGTTTGTATATCCTACTAACTATTAACCTTCTTATTGTAGTTCATTTATATGCTAAAACGATCGATAACTCCAAATCATGAAGATCAGATAGATCAGTGCATTGAACTATTCTCTTGTTATTATCACACTTCAGATGTATATTAGTCAATCTAGTCAGCTACAACGTGAGACCAGGAATATATATGCATCGATCCAAGTTGCCATACCTCATTAGCATAATAAGATGAACACCGAATTCATAGAAGTACTTAATTCAATAGTGGTGATACATAAAAGAAACATTGTATATAAGGATATAGTACAGGAGGAAAGAATTAGTTCGTAGAAAGAATCTCATAGTTTAAGGGAAGACATTCATATATACATTCAACACTAACTCAGCCAGTCGTAGCATGTACATAATTAAGATCTTTTACGATTAGTAAACAATAATTTCTGATTGAGGAATAAAGGAAACATACGATTAGGACATTAGAATAATATAGGTTAACATTTTACTAACTATGCATTGACAATGGCTACGCCGATTTAAAGGAGAATAGCATGCAAAGTTTCACATTTTCATTTATTTGCCTAATTATAACACGGAACTACCTAAATAGAAGTAAATGGAGCATTTTCGATATCAGTTGTTGAAAGTCAAGATTGTAGATACACTTTGTTGACGAATATCAACCAGCGAAAAGCCTAAATTTAAGATTTTCTGTCAACAACATTCAGCAACAAAAAGTAGTGCACACAATATCGAATATTTAGTTCGCACATCACAGCTTAGCAGATAGAATTCGATCAGTAATAAGGTCTGGATAAACATGTCATTAGTCAGTTATAAACATCTCAGTTCTATAGTTCAGTCACGGCCCAGACAGCTCGTGGAAAATGTCTCAGATTGTGTTGGTGGTTCAAATCCCACAAAGATCATTAGTTTCTTCGTGGTTTTAGTTGTGATTTGCTGACAAATGCTAGGTAGTAGACAACTTGGTGAAGCAGGCCCTCCTACCAACTACATCCAACCACCTTACATATGGACTATTGTTTATACTCAACTTTAGCAGACAGTCATATGATATTAAGCCATGATGATGTAATGAGAGGATTACGTAATAAGGATAATAACAATAGACTTAATAAGTTATAACGAACTATGATAAAGCAAACGAAACACCGCAAATTGAAAAACAGCCAAGTGATGTTAAAAATCTCATAATCACCCCAGACTTATATGGTCATATACGTCTAATAGGTCTGATCATCCCGCGCTTATATGGATTACCGAAAGTACATAAACCTGGTTTAAAGTTACGAACTATTTGGATATATCGAATCCCCAAATGGTTGGCTGAAGATGGAAACCAGTTAGAAGGCAAGTATCTAAATATTATGTTCATGATACCTTTCAATTTACCGATACTATTAAAGAAGTTAATATTTCTGGAAAACTCATGTTCTCACTTAACGTTAGTTCACTTGTGTACTTACGCCCGTTACTCCCAATGGAGCATAGGCCGCCGACCAGCACTTTCCAACTCACTCTGTCCTGGACCTTCTTTTCTAGTTCCACCCTATTCTTGTTCATTTTTCTCATGTCTATCCTCATTTCCCGGCGTAATGTGTTCTTTGGCCTTGAGGATTCCATGTGAGGGCTTGCCTTGTGACGCAGTTGGGTGCTTTCTTCAATGTGTGTCCTATCCACTTCCAGCGCTTCTTCCTCCGCTGGGATCTGGTTTGTTCTCTCCCACAGTACGTTGTTGCTAATAGTGTCTGACCAACCAACGGATCCGAAGTATTTCGCGTAGACAACTGTTAATAAACACCTGTATTTTCTGGATGATGGCATTCGTAGTTCTCCAGGTTTCCGCCCCATACAGTAGAACTGTCTTAACATTTGTATTGAAAATCCTGGCCTTGGTGTTGGTTGACAGTTGCTTTGAGTTCCAGATGTCCCTCAGTTGTAAATATGCTGCTCTTGCTTTGCCGATTCGCGCCTTCACATCTGCATCAGATCCACCGTGTTCATCAATGATGCTGCTCAAATATGTAAAGGTCTTTACATCTTCCAAATCTCCGTCAAGTGTGATTCGATTGGTACATGCTGTGTTGTATCGGAGAATCTTGCTTTTCCGTTTGTGTATATTAAGACCTACTGCTGCTTCACTGGTTGTCTTCTCCTGAGTTTGTTGTTGCGTGTGCGATAGAAGAGCCAGATCATCTGCGAAGTCTAGATGTCCATCTACATTCTAGATGTTCACTGTAACCCATGCCTCCCCCCAGATGTTGACGTCTTCATGATCCAGTCGATCACCGGGAGAAAGAGTGAGAGTAGGCAATCTTTATTGAAACCGGTCTTTGCCTCGGACGAGTCTGTTTGGTGTTCTCCATGCATGATTTTGCAGTTTAATCCATCATAGGAATTCCGTATGATATTGACTATCTTTGCAGGCACGCCATAGTATTGAAGAAGCCTCTATAGTGTTGTCCTGTCCGCGCTATCAAATGCTTTTTCGTAGTCAATGAAGTTGATGTAGAGTGATGAGTTCCATTCAATTGATTGTTCCACAATGATCCGTAGAGTTGCGATTTGGTCTGTATACGATCTATCCTTACGGAATCCTGCCTGTTGGTCTCGAAGTCGAGCGTCTATGGAATACTTCATCTTGTTTAACAATACACTGTTGAAGACTTTTCCCGGCAATGAGAGAAGGGTGATGCCCCTGTAATTATCACTTGTGTACCTTTAACTGAAATTACATGCTATTTATGTGAGTATATTGATCATAACAACATAGATATAGGCCTATCAACTGACCACTTGAAAGAACTATTGTTACACTGCACTTTTAATACCCAGTTCTGTTTCAACAATGAAATTATATGGACATAGAGATAGGGACTCTATTGTGTCCAATATTACCAGACTGTTTTATGGCGAAACTCAAAAACAACCAACTTAGTTTGATTCAATATATACGTAAGATTCATGGACGACACATTTTTGACGACAATATTGAATTAACAGTTAGTTTACACTTTAACTCATGCCACGTTAGATAAAGAGACAAGTCAACCAATCTCTTCTCGGTGTGCGTCTGACGGGAAAAATTGGTTGTTCCTCAAAAAGATCCATTTTTAGAAAACAAACATGGAATGGTCAGCTGACCAACTTCTATAGCTGGGTTCCTCTAAGCAGAAAGAGGAATGTCATTCACTCTTTTTTACCGAATACAACGGATGTGTAGTGCAGAATGTATTGACGAAGATCTTGCATTCCTCAGAAAAGCGGCTATCCAATTTGCTTCATAGAGAAGAATATGAGTAGATGTAGAGACGAGGAGTCCGGTTTTTTCCATTGCAAAGAAATACCTTTAAATAAATCTGAAATTTAAAGGTAACCGAATATGTGATATAACTAAAAATCGGTTAACGGCAGCGATAAAATAACATTCTATTCAGCAAAACTGCGAATAACATTCGCTAGTAAAAACTTGTTTTCTGTATCCATAAAAGATAAGTTTTCCCGTCTGGTCACCACCATGTGCATCTACCAATTCACCTGCTCTTGTGAAGCAAGGTAGATTGGCCGTATGCAGCGCTCACTTTCAACTCAGATACCGGAACATGTCCCAATGTGGTTCTAAAAGGGTGATAGGGAAGGAGTTAGACTTCCACTCTTGAACATTTAATCGACTCTAATCATTCTACTGATCCACAGGTTGGTTTTAAGGTTGTGTATGAGATTCATCAAAGTCTACCTAGAATTCTTCGTATCCAACTCTTTAAGATAGCAGAAGCTTTTATTATCCATGATCTCAAGCCAAAAATTCTGCGTACAAAAGAAGTACATCCTATCGTTTGACTTATCTCATATTCGCATGATTTTATTCATTATTGTTCATGATATCACTTCATTTATTGCTCACACCTCTATTACCTTTATCAAACTGTTAAAGTACTAGTTCCAATAAGAACATATGAACAAGGAATAATCATGATGATGTAATAGAAAGATCACAACACTAGATTACGCAAATTATAATGTGAATACAGTAAAATGATTAAAATGTCTTTCAATAGTTGAGATCATGAGTCAATTGAAGCTAGACCACCTTAGAAAACTTGGAATCACTGGACGGTCATTTCGTCCTATTGTGGGACTCCTCAGCAGTGCGCATCCACGATCCCATTCGGGGGATTAGAAACCAGAACCTAAAATGTTCTCGTTACAATAATTAAAGATTATATATTATTATTTATTAATGACTTATTGTCATTATTCTTATTACGTAATCTAGTATTGTAATTTTTCCTATTACATCATCATGATTATGTCTTGTTCATATGTCCTCATTGGAACTAGTACTTTAACACTTGATATTGTTTTACTTGAATCTTCCCATTGATGTTTTAGGACTGAAATTGATCAGTCTCTTATTGACATATGTGCATACTGTGCGTATGCCTCGATATTGCCTTAATTTACAAGCATTATAAGCAAAGATGGATAATGGCTAGCAGTGGAATCCAGGACGCGCGTTTCGTCCTGTTTGGGACTCGTCAGCTGGATGTACCTGCATCTCAGAGTTGATGTTCACTCTGGGACTCGAACTCAGTACCGTTAAGTACCGCTAAGTGGATAACACGATGGCGTTTGAAGCGAACGGTACTGGATACGAGTCCCAGAGTGGCCATCACTCTGAGATGCAGGTACATCCAGCTGACGAGTCCCAAACAGGACGAAACGCTCGTCCTGGATTCCACTGCTAGCCACTATCCATCTTTGCTTATAGTACTTTAACAGTTTGATAATGAATTCATTCAAAAGAGATCCCTTCATTGAACTTCATGTTTTCAATATTTCAAAAGACAAAAGAATAAGTTGAATACACGAATCATTTATATAATTTTTTTTTATAAATGTGAAATATACAAGTTCATATGTTTTAACCACGTTTTTTTGTCATTTTCTTATGTTTTTGTTTTAATTTACGATAATTTAAACGAATTTGTTTAGCTTTATTTGGTGTAGCTTGATGTTTTAATTGACTGAAATCACGTCGTGCTCCGATATTAACTGATTCAGATGTATTACGTTTTTGACGCTTTTTTTGTCCACCATGACCATATTTATTATTTTTATAAACACGTTTTTGATTAATTCTAAAATCAAAAACAAAACAAAATGTATAAATATGAAATAATCTAAAAGACAGGAACAGTTTTTTTTTCATTGGAAAATATCTTTTTTCTGCATATCGTCGTCACGCCTGTTACTCCTCGTGGAGGAGCATAGGCTGTCCACCAGCACTCTCTATCCAACCCTGTCTTGGGCGATAATTTCCAGTTGTTATCCATTCTTTTCATATCTGCTTCTATTTTCCAGTGTAATGTGTTCTTTGGCCTTCCTTTTTTCCGCTTCCCTCCAGGATTCCAAGTTGGCGTTTGTCTCGTGATGCAGTTTAGTGACTTCCGTAATGTATGTTCTATCCACTTTCAACGTCTTCTAATTTCCTGTTCAGCTGGAAGCTGGTTTGTTCTCTCCTCCCCCAAAATGCTGTTGATGATGGTATATGGCCAATGTATGTTGAGTATCTTGCGAAGTCTTTCGTTGGTTATACGAGTGTAAAAATATGACTCTGATCCTCATCCTCTTGAAAAAACAGTCATCAACATTCAGACAAATAACTGCATTTACTTGTGAGCAACTACTCTCTTATAGTACATTTTTCAGTATGAGTTTGTGGAGATTGTTGAGTTTTTGATTAAGATCATGAACCAATCGATGTTAGACCACCATTTTTCACTGGTTAACAAAAATGTACCCTCTACCAGTTGGTATACCATTATCTATCTGGTCATACTGAACAGGTCATGTTCATAATCGTTGGAGAGTTGACTGTTGTTCCTGAACTTGTCAAGTTGAATGTGTCTTTATTTAACCTAAACTTGTAATTATTCTCAGAATGGGTTTGTGGAGATTTTTAGAAATTTCACAGGTTGAAATCATGAGTCACTTGAAGCTAGACCACCATGGATGAGCACTGATGAGGAGTCCCATACTAGGACGAAACGGCCGTCCAGTGCTTCCAGGTTTTCCATAGTGGTCTAGCTTCAACTGAATCATAATAATTATTCATTATAGGACCACTTACGGGATATATATATATAAATAACCTTCCGGTAAATGAAGCACCATTTGACTGGTATATATCGTTACCATTGTTTATATTGTCTGTTGTGGTACCTAACGCTGGTAAGTGATATTTGTCTATGGTAATGGCACATTGTAATAATCGATAACAGGTAAACATGGGAATTTTGTTTAGATTTAGAGAATATTTTTACATTTTAAATAGTTATTATGCACCAGCAATAACCGTTATCTTTAATTTTCTAATTTGTCCTGATAGATTATGTCAGCAGAAAGATAACAATTAAATGGTTGAATTCATGAATCAATTGAAGCCGGGTGCATACTGCTGAGGAGCCCCACAATATGACGAAACGGTCGTGCAGTGCTTCCGAGTTTTCCATGGTGGTCTAGTTTTAATGGACTCATGGATTCAACTGGACGGCCGTTTCGTCCTGTCGTGGGACTCCTCAGCAGTACTCATCCACGATCCCGCCTCGCAAGATTCGAACCCAGGACCTCTCAGTCTCGCGCGCGACCGCTTAATAATTAGACCACTGAGCTAGCCGCCATCCAACGGTGTTAATATATAAACCTCAAGGAATCTACAAAATTGAGTGACACATCCATCATTGTCCTCAGTGAGTTACTATCTCACAACCGATCCAGTTGAACTCCACTAGTCACTGTTATCTTTCTGATAACATAATCTAACATGATAAAGAAAAAAATCTTAAGATAAAGAAAACATTTGTTTACTTCCGCCGATTTGCATAATCTTTTGCTGTATGAAAACTCTTTGATGATGATGTTTTCATGTTGGATTTATCATTTTTCGGTTCATAATCTTTCTTAAATTCATTTAATATTTGTTCTAGTTTTTCTTCACGATTAATTCCTATCATTATAAATAAACAATGAGGATATTAATGAAAATAAAACGATTCATAAAAGGTACTATGTATATGCAAATGAGAAGAAAAAAGATAACTTTTAAAAGATAAGTTCATATAGTCGGTTACTGCTATCTAGATATTTCAACAAGTTATCTGTTTCTTTGTTTGTTTTAACAGATCATTATGTCAATTATATGTATAAACTATTCAGGTGCGTTTCTGAAAAGTTTACATTTCGCTGTACCAGTTTATTTATTTGAACACATAAACATGGGTACAAGAAGGTACCAAATAGATATACGCCACACAAATCATTCGATTTATGTAAGCGCTAGGATACTGACCGGGTGCCCAAACCGAAGCAGGTGGTTTTCTGAGGGGGTCACACCCAGAGCCTTTGACCTAAAGGTCTAATCCACAAGGTAGTGGAGCAGCGTCAGGAGATAGTCTCATGGTAGCCGGTCGTCAACAATAGGTTCATACGCCATTTGTTTTCTTAGGATCGTGCAGCGCATGTACACCATTGGTTTAGAATCGGGGTCTTCCAACTCCCCTAGGTGGACTCTACGTGATCACCAACCCGGTTAGAGCGTCGGGCATTCGCTTTTCGTTCTCCAAATTTCGTAAAAAACATCCTTGTTGCGTGAAAGTAGGGGGTAGGACTTCTGTGGTGGTGGTTGTATGCTCGTGGCTATGTGAGAGCATGTCGAGAGGGAGAGTTGACTCTCCCCAGGGCATTCGGGGACTGAATTCGAACCCACGTTCTTTCCGACTGGTGCCTCAAAACAGCTCCTTGGACCTCTCAGCCAGTCCATCTACGCTGTACCAGTTACAAAAGACCCAACCAGAGACATCGTGGTTGTTGGCAATGTACAGAGAAAAGAATATACATTATTTCGATGTCGATTGACTGGACTGCTAACATCTAATTGGCAATCATCACTCAATATTTATGGTCGGAATTGATCAAGAAATAGGAAATTTGTTAAAATACTTTGTGCTGAGAATCCTATATTGTACCAAAATATAATACTGAATAAAGCCACTAATAATAAATAAATACAATTATTACGATGTATCTGACGATGGGATTGAAGAGCGCTTCGATGAATACATGTGTACCACAATCGGAGAGTTTTCTGTCGACATGGTTATTAAAAAACCTTCTGTTCACAATGGAGGTCTATGAAATTTTATAATGGAGTTTTGAATAATCTAAATATCTGTTAGCTAGTATGTAACATTCTTGTTCATTTAAGACAGTCGATGAATTTAACAAAGAATAAAGTAACAAAGCACAGACTTTAATATGCTCGAATCTACTAGAAGTAAGCCATAATATTGTTGTTCAAAACATCGGTCAAAGCTTCGCAATTAAACTATTTAAATCGCAGAACTCGAAATCTGCACAGTTAAGTTAATCAGTCATAAAGATGATATAGTTCATATAACCACAGTCAAAAAAATAAGTTTGCATAAACAATTGACAATTTAACCAGTTGAAGTGACCACATGAAAAACGATTTAGTTTGTAAGTTGTAATTGTCACAGATTGGTCTTACTTAGGGTAATACTAAAATCCAGGGGGCTCTGAATAGCCGTTTGGTCTTAAAATGTGACTCCGTAGCGATACATACATACAACATCTACCAGGAATTAAACCTGAGCATTTCGGATCTCATGGCAAAAGTTTGACGATTACGAACACTACGTCAACGCCCGAATGAAAATTTTCAGATATAGCGTGACAACTACTCATTGTTATTAATGACAACTGAACTCCACCACTTGTGAGTGCACAGTCGACGAGCCTCATATTACGACGAAATAGCTATCAATCAAGTGAGAAGTATAAGTGAGTAGAGTATATATCTGTTATAATTGGAGAAATCGGCTCCGTCTGAACCGTTGTAATTGGGTAGCCAATTGTTATATTTGCATCCCCATTATTACTTGTACTTAGAAACAAGAAACCACTGTAATTCCTCGTCCCTATGGCTTATACTAGAAGAAAATTGATAAAAAGAGAATAACACTAAAAACAATGTTTTTTTTTACCAGTTTTTTCCATGTATTCTTTACAGCTTCCGTTAGTTTACGTTTTTCTTCTTTACGTGTTTGATTAACAGTCTGTTGAACTTGTTTACCAAATTTACGTCGTTCTCTTATTTGTCTAGCACGTTCACGTAATGCTAATTTTTGTTTAGTTTCAATTAGATATTTTTTAACCTATTCAATTAAACACAAATTAATATGCAAAATTTAAAGAAATATCTAAAGGTTTTTATGATTGGTTGATCAGTCAGTCAGTCAACTACAACGTAGGACCAGACACATATATGCATCGGTCAAAGTTGCCAAACCTTGTTAGCACAACAACATGAACACTGAACTCATAGAATTAGTTAACTCAATAGTGGTAATACATCAAAGAAAGATTGCATATAAGGATATAGTACAGGAAGAAAGAATTAGTTGGTAGAAAGAAAAATATGAAGCGACTTTAATCTCATAGTTTAAGGGAATACAAAGAGTGTATACACCGACGCCATTGTGGTCGATTCTGAGCCATGTCACACAAAGTCTCCAACCATTGGTTACGATAGTCACGCGGACCTTAACCAAGTAGTCTGCATCTACCAACATAGCTCAGACTACAAGTTAGTGACTTCAAGCACTGATGCCACGTTTTGGTCTGGCCGCCCAAACATCCCCGACACCGGTTAACATTGCACGTCGTGGTAATCGGTGTTCAGGCATACGTAACACGTGGTCCAACCATCTCAGTCGATGAAGATTCACAACCTCATCAACTGATTTACCACTATTCCCTAATACTCTGCGTCTAACTTCATTATCACTTATTCGGTGATCTCAGCAGACGCCAGCAATATTTCTAAGGCATCTGGGATCAAATACTAGTAGCTTACGAGTATCTTCAACTCTTAATGGTCACGTTTCGCAGCCGTAAAGTAGAACAAAACGAAATGCCGGCGCAGTATACTCGTCCCTTCATCATAGGTGACGTAAGTTGGCAAAAATCAAACGAGTTTTCTGAATCCGTACAGAGATTTCGTCAGACACCAACCCATTTGGACTGATCAGACTTCCAAGATAAGTGAAGTTGTCGATGCGTTCGACAATGATCAATCAAAGTTTAAACAAGATGGAACTTAGAATAACATGGCTTGTTCAATAAACAAGCAAACCGAGATAGTTCAATTTTACGTGATATTTGCGGAAAACTGCCAGGGAATTAAAGATATGCTGGAAGGTTGTTTATAGAGATGAAAAAATGGAGGAAATAACTCTTCAAGTGTTCAAAGTATTTTAGCGCGGATTGTAAGATGTGAAACCAGAATGACTATAAATCTCTTGAATTTATGGAGACATCAAACGTGAGCAGTTTTTTATGCCGTCCAATCAACAATTTACTGTTTGTACGACTGACAAATGACAAGAATTAGGGAAATCCATTGTGCATTCTGTCCTAGCGAAATATTTAGGATTGAAAAAAATGTGAAAAAGTTAACGAAGCAGTCAAAGTCTGGCTTCCAAACACTTTTAGGAATATATCTAAAATGAAGAATTTCACATATTTGCTAAACAGACTACGCATTAATGTGTTAAGGAAAAGATTTGTAACTCTAAAGTAAAAAAAATTCAATCATATTAACTAAGCTTGACGACCTCAAACAAACTGCAATACGATATTACCTAACCTTTAATTTAGTTTATATCACTATGAATAAACACCACTGAATTAAATCATGAAGCAGTAGATGCTTCATGAGATCAACATCAAGCGTTAGGGTGGTAAATGTTATCCCTAACCTTAATCGTAGCATTATTCATCAAAATTTATAAACCTCCAATTACAACAACAGGAGATAAGATTAGTAGTTACTGGTATAGCACAATCGCAAACGCTGCATAGTTGAGAAGACAATGTGTAGTAATGCACTCAGGTGTTTACAGTCCATTACAATTATAGTCTACCTCAGTCTCGTAAAACCAGTAATTGAAATACAATCAGGGGTCGTTCTAAACAGGAGAAATCTATCAATCGCTATAGCCTAAACAAACTGATATGATGAACGAAGATTTACTCGATTGAAGTGTCAATGGCCTATGGTATTGATTTCTTTTTCAATCATCTATGATATCTAGACATATTTTAAAGAGCTATCATATTATTTATGCCTGTTGGTCCCAGACGGTTGTTTTGTAATATTGTACATCTATGCTTACTCGGTGAATCCTTCATTAATTAGCGTCAAGTACTATTCAATTTAGTGTATATAAATTTGACCATAAATCGATGTAAGTCATACAAATATAACTGTATTCGGAAGTTATTTGGTTTATCTTGAGCATCAAATAATTTTTTATTTACCATGTCTTTATTGTGATTTGTATATTTCGATTAACGGGTTCAAGTAGTTAGTAATAAGATGCCAGCAGTTAGAACGCAATAAAACAAACAAAGTATCAGCATCAATTGAATGCACTCGAGCCAGGGTAAAAGATTCTGAACCATGTCAGCCAACGTCTCCCCAACCAAGTAGTCAACCCCTATTGACATATCTCAATCAAATTGCCATTGACTTTATGGACTGATGCCACGCCTAAGTTTGGCCAGCCCTAGATTTCTTGCAGTCTACCACTACATCAGACAACATCGCCGGTCGATGTGTGGTAGATGGGCATACCAACACATGTATTAACCACCTTAGTTGAAAATTCACTACCTCATTGATTGATTTGTCGAATTTACCTAGTACCCTATCCCAAACCTTGCCGTCGTTTCATCCACTCACATAAACCAACCGTTCATTTACTAATAAACCACAAACACTTTATCCTTAAACATCATCACCCAGTACAACATCCACAGATCAATATTTATAAAACCAACCTATTTCATAATTGTCTATTAAAAAACACCAACAATATGCATACGAACCAGTCAGTCATACACCAATCACTTAACTATGCACATCCAATTAGAATAAATTAATACATTGGAACATAATTTGATATGAATAACCCAATGTTAGACACCACTGTTTTTCTGTCGATTAGTACTTGAATAAAAATTGGTGACTCAATTATTATAGAAGGGATGGGACAGCAAATTAAAAAAGATCACAAATTTACGAACTAAACTGTTCTGATTTCAGTGGAGGTTTCATAAGTGAATGTTTAAATTTGGATCAACTCCAGAACACTAGACGACGAATGCACACATTCACATACAAACCTGGGAAAATTGACTTTTTGCCAATCAAAATGTGATTTAGAAGGAATTATGTTTGAAACTGAAAAAAAACAGAGTAAATATCTGACCGGTGATGTCGACAGTCTACTTAAGCACTTTGTTTCATAGCGAAACACATGTGTTAGGACAAGCTGATGCGTTATAATAAAAATTTGATATCTATTATTGACAAAATATCCGACTAATTAGTGATATGACCAGTTCCTCCCAACAACATACTTGACTTGAACTAAGGATGTGTTTCGTGATCAAAACTATCAAGATTTATAAGATTCATTTAAATTTGGTGTAAGGTATTCTGTCCACGACGAAATCCAACAGTACAGCTGTATGTCATCTACTTTGTGTTATTTGCGAAATGGCAACAATTAAACTAACCTTTGTCATGTGATCATCTGTTTTGACCATTTCTGCAAAGTAATCAGATGGACGTTTAGTCGGTACATCTAAAGCGTGTAATTGAGGTATAGCTATAAGCACCGCTGCCTGAGCTACACGGTAACTAAACAAAAGAGATAAGGGGATATATGAAGGCTATGAAACATTTGAAAAGTCACAATCTCATTTTAATTAAAAAGGGAGAACTAAGAGAAAGTATTAGAAGTACCCATCGAGTATAACGCTATCTAGGTGTATTTATTTAATGGAGTTATAGGTTAATAATTGTATTAAAATACAGACCATCAATAGTGCAGTGTTCAATATGTTAACCGTATAGAAGAAAATTGAAAATACGAGAGAAAAGACTGGAGATTATTAGGATGGAATGGAATGATACTGAATATATGTATACAACTAACGTCCTTCAACAGCAAACATGAAAATAATGTCTTTCGAGAGAATTAATTGACAATGCTGATTTTACTTATCTGAGAATGTGAATGTAAACCCAAGAGATATTGGGCTTGTGGTTGATCTTATATGGTATTTCCGAAGATTTGTGAGCGTCATCTTAAAAATAAGCACTTCAGTGGATTACATACAATCAAGAATTACAAGTCACATATGTATGTGTTTAAATACAACACAACAAATGGAATTTTGACAATGTTCTTTGGAGAATCTGTGTCGATTCTGTTCTTCGGTGCTAATGTATTTAATTACATAAATAGACAATGAGTAACATTGCAGTTATGTTAACAGTAATCCCAAGAGTTATCCTCAAGCCTTGATGTGATACTGTTGCTTCATTGTTGGTATGAAACTAGCCGAATTATTGACATAAATAAGTAACTTAAACCTAAGACGGTGAATCTTAAAGATGTAATTTTAAGTTCAAAGTGAAAATGTTTGTTCGTAAACTACATAGAACTTACAAAAAGTTTTCACGTTTAAAATCATCATCTGGATCGATATGTTGTAAGTCATCCAAATCTAAATCTTTTTGAGCTGGAGCTGCCATACATGTGACATCTAATCGCTCGATCCATGGGAGATTTTTTCTAATACTATTGAGAGTATTCATTAGAGCTGACTGTTCAAGTACAAAGGAAGTTTGCAAGAAAAATAAAATTATACTAACAAATTAAACAATCATTATTGTTCGTTGTAATGAGAAGTAAAATCTTTAAATAATCACCCAATAATCTAAATTAGAAAAAAGATCTTGTGCTCAGTCACAATCTGTCTGGAAGTCAGATACATTAACCAGTTTTCTTGGAATAAATTGGATGGAACAGATTGACAATTTGAAATTCTTTGATATAGGGAAGAGTAAACAAGATGTGAAGCGTGGAATTTATAAAAAAAACCTTATTCCAAACCACTGATGCACATGGGCTCCAGCATCCTGAGGAAACAAAAGGTATATGGACCAATTATTGGTAACTGATTACAATGGGACCGCATTTCCTTACGTTGGTCTATTGACTTGTGGATCAGATCTTTAGGTCGAAGGCCTTAGGTGTGACCCTCTAAGAAAACCACCTGCTTCGACCTGCGCACCCGGGCAGTATCACAGCCCACACACAAACTAAGTGACTTGTATGGCGCATATGTATTCGGTGCTCCTTTGTACCAATACTTATGTGTTCAAATAAATAAACTCCGAAGTTTTTTTTCCTTAGTTCATGCCAATAGATAACCAAAGAAAAGTAAGGCCAGCAATATCAACTGAATATTAACTTTCAAAATTGAAGAGGTTTGGAAAACGACCCGAAAACACTAGTTGGAGGATTCATTAGTACTATATCAAGAGACAAATAACTGCGAATCGAAAGATCATTAGTAAACAAGTAAACCGAAGAATAGGAGGAGCATAGCAATATAATCTTAAATGCTTGACAAACAAAAATTAGGTATTTTGTAGCAACCCTAGAGGTTTTACGTTGAATCACCTAGATTTTAGTCACTTGTATTGGCTACTGGTTTGACCCCAAGACAAATATATGCTCTAACCAACAGTCCTAGTCCTATTGCATTAGTGCTCTTCCAGTCTACTATTGTGTTAGGGAGTGGTTCATAACATGAATAAGTCCAAAACATATTCCTATTTGGTTAGTAAGGGTCTTACACGTAACCAGTCGGTATACTTCAGTTGCTTTCCCATATATGCATCCATATTACTCATGATAAGACAGCGGGTATCCAGTAGAATTTGAGTCGTCATAAAATAATCAATACCATTGAGTTTCCCAATCAATTTTCAGGAGATCGCTACATTAATCTTCAACAAAGTTTAAAAACCGGAGGATGATAAATAGTTAGTGAACTTACACTGTAATGACAAAAAAAGAGTAATACGAAAACCTCTGACCAAGGGTTTGAATCACTCGAGAATTAATTTAGTGCTACAAGTCTCCCAATTATCGTTTAAAGGTCTAGCGATACATTTGTTTCAAGTTCATATAATTATGAGTCTAAATACTTCACAATGGTCTCCCCGATTGTCCGGATTTTCGAAATAGGTAAACTGCGTCTGTTTTTAAAACAGCTCCGTTTGTCCTCAAAAAAAGGTATCCACTAAAATATTTGCTACGAATGAATAAAACAGGTATTTTACTAAATTGGATCCTTACACAAACCAATCGCTATGTCGGAAGAGCTACCTTTGCTGCCTGATTACTCATGACGTTAAAGAAACATTCTTGTTGGGTGTATTTACAGTAGTATGATGACGAATTATTGTTTCATTGCGCGATAATTAAATAGGACAGTGGTATTTTTTCTCGCTGAGTAAATTTTATTGGTTTGATCGTTTATTACGTATCAAGACTATTGTTCTCAGTTTAATTGAATTTATTTTAATTAAAGTATTCGACTAGAGTATCGTTTACTGTTTCGCAATTAGTTTATTGTCGGTACTCTTGAGTACCTTATTTTCTACTGCATCTGTTAGTACTTTGGTCCTAACAATCTACAGTTCTCCACTTTTTTGGTCATAGATCATTTTTGTCTCAGAGGATTATTGCATCTCGCTCTCTTTTTGAAAAGGACCCCTTTTTAATGACCGGACAGTGCAAAAAATGCAGTTGCCAACGCCAGGTTGTCGTTATCCTGTTGAAAGCGGCATGCAGTGCGATGAATGCAAAGGTTGGTACCACGAAGTTTGCACGAATTTAACGCCTGCGGCTTTAAAAAGGTTCAGTAAAAAGGGTTGCGTTTGGCTTTGTCAACAGTGCTGTTCGGATGCAAACAGCTTGTTAACCGAGGCCATCTCACTGGTAGATGCTGCGAGAAGTATTTTAGCAAGCGTAGTCGGGACACATCAAACGGCACTCGCTCGGTCGACACGCAAATTGATATGAAGCAAACTCAGGCGAGTTCGAAAATAGGTGACTCACACCGATCAAAGAAGGAAAAACAGTCTCCAAAGAGGTCTGTCTTAAACAAAAACTCAAGAAAAGAAGGCTCTTCTGTTCCCCTTCTTCTAAATGGCATCCGGCAGGAAACGCCTAGAAGCCGCAATCGCAAGGCTCGATCGGTTTCTAGCGGGAAACATAACCTGACCTCCCAGGTCGTCGAAAACCCTCCGGAATCCGACAGCAGGTTTGACACAACTGTTGTTACTTCTCCTAGCACCGTTGACGAATGGGTACAAGTTGTAAGGAAGAAACAACGTAGCGATATAAAAGGGAATCCTGCCCCCGTAAAAGTGGTTGAAAAATCGAAAGCTGATCAGAGACAGACCAGTTATTTTTCATAGAATCAAGGGGAGTGAGAGCTCTGAACCAAAAGCTCGTTTTGAGCATGACATTGTGCTGATTAAACAGCTGCTTAGTCAACTCATCCCTCAAAATATCACCAGGGTCACCTTGCTAAAGGTGTACAGATTAGGTAGTCTAGCAAACTTGAAACCAAATCAATCCAGACTGCTTAAAGTAGTATTCAAGTCTTCCAACGAACGCGATCTAATTTTACAGAATGGACATAAATTAAAGGGTTCAGAAGTCTTTATCTGAAAGGACTTGCCATTGGCAGACCGTGTTAAAAGACGGGAAGCCGAAAAAGAACTACAACTAAGGTTAGAAGCCGGCAAAAAGGACCTGAAAATTGTAAATTTTCGGGTTGTAAGGCTTCGACAGAAAATGATGCCCAAGCCACTCTGAGTGAAGCATGAAGCCACTTAAATAGGCTTCGGATCTGTTACACTAATGCCCGAAGCTTACTTAATAAGCGATCGGAACTAGGTGTACAGATTGACTCTACAAAGCCAGACATAATCGCAGTTACAGAAACCTGGCTGACACAGGCTATAGATAGTATGGAACTTGATTTCGAAGGTTTTACGTTAGTAAGGGCCGACAGAATACAAAAGCGTAAGGGAAGGGGAGTAGCTCTATTCATTAGGAATGCTATCCCATTTGCCATTATCGATAGTGTATCCCATGAGAGTGGGACGTGTGAATTAGTTAGTTGCCGCTTGAAATGCAAGGGACAAGAGCTGCTGATTGGTTTGGTCTATCGCAGTCCAAGCTGTGAGGTAAATGAGATCCTGTTAAGCAGTCTCAATACTTGGTCACAAAGTGGTCGATGTCTAATCCTAGGGGACTTTAATGCACCTATGGTAGACTGGGAAAATCTGCGAACTAAATCGTCCGAAAATTCCTTTGAGCAGGAACTAGTTGATGCGGTTATCACATGTGCCTTAGTGCAACATGTGAAAGAAGCGACAAGGTACGATCCGGACACTGAATCATCCTTACTAGATCTTATACTGACTCACTATGAGGATGACGTTGCGAACCTCCATTATATGCCACCCTAGGTAAAAGTGACCACGCAGTTTTAACTTTCGACTTCCATATAACTGTCAGACATGAGCACGCGTCAACCCAATCCAGACCTAACGTCTGGAAAGCGAACATACCAGGTATCATGCACTCAGCATCGTTAGTAGATTGGACAATAGACCCAGAGTCCTCAATGAAACGGCCTGGGACGCATTTCGAAATTCATACTTAAGAGTTACCACACCCCACATCCCTTGGACTATACCAAGGGGGCCGAGAAACTCCCCACCATGGTTCAGTGGGAAGGTCCGCATCCTTCTCCGTAAGAGAAGAAAAATGTGGGATAGATTTAGGTTACTGGAGACCGATGAGACAAAATCTCAGTATCGTAAAGCTCGGAATACCTGTGCCTCGACCCTCCGTAAGTCTAGAAAGTTGTACGAAGAAAAAATTGTTAAGGAATCCATAGAATGTCCTAAACGCTTGTATTCCTATATAAGCCAAAGGACAAAGAAAAGAGGAAATATTTCTGCTCTATGGGGAGAGTACTGCCGCATCATTAGTGGAGGACGACTTTGGTAAGGCTCAAGTGTTCTCAAACTGCTTTAGCAATGTATATACCATAGAAGCACCCTTCCCGTCAGCGTATACAGATCCCCCACACATACACTGGATAGCGTGACCATTAAAGAACTCGATGTCTTTGGTCTGCTAAATAAGCTTGACATAGGTAAATCCACGGGGCCCGATGAATTACATCTTAGGCTACTGAAGGAACTATCTAACTTCGTTGCGAACCCTTTAAGTATATGCTTTAACCTATCCGTAACGCAGGGTCGTTTACCAAAAGACTGGAAAAACGCCATGATAAGTCCTGTCTTCAAAACAGGTACGAGACACAAACCTGAGAACCCGTTAGTTTAACTAATGTGGTTGTAAAAATCTTAGAGTGCCCCAGGGTGCAGTTTTGGGGCCCGTGCTATTCCTCTTGTATGTAAATGACCTTCCTCGTCTCCTATCATCATCGGTCTTGCTATATGCTGACGATGTCAAGATATGGAGAACGATACGATGTAAGGGTGATAGCTTAGAACTCCAAAATGACCTGAAGAAATTATCTGAATGGCCTCAAGCCTGGCAGGTGCCGATAAATATTTCCAAGTGTGTCGTGATGCATATCGGTCATCAAGGTACAGATACATACACGATGAATAACACTGAACTACCTGTCGTCCAGACATATAATGACTTAAGATTCATCGTTAGCCAAGACCTAAAGACTACTGCACACTGCCGTGCAATAGCCGCCAAAGGTTTTAGAACCTTATGGTCAATACGCAGGGCTTTTAGTCATGTCGATGCTAAGACGTTTTTGACTTTGTATACAGTGTTCGTACGTCCTAAACTTGAGTACTGCATACAAGCGGCTAGCCTCTGCTTGAAAAAGGCAGTGAGCTTCTGGAAAAGGTTCACAGGACGGCAACTAAGCTTATTCCCGGAATAGCGAAGCTTCCGTATGAAGCTCGACTGGCCAAGCTGAACCTTTTCCCGTTGTCATATCGCAGAACTAGGGGCGACTTGATTACAGTTTTCAAACTGCTTAGTATCAAAGTTGCACCTAATATGCCCACTTTTTTCTTGTCTTCCAAAACAGAGAATTTACGAGGACACTCCAAAAAAGTTCACAAGCCCAGAACAAATTACTTGTCAGCCGACTATCGAATCATCAACGAGTGGAATTCATTACCTCAGCACGTGGTTGAAGTTCCATCCGTCGACTCATTCAAAAGAAAGTTGGATCAACTGAGAGACCACCACTGCCAGGACTAACACAGGCCATCAAGCCTCTTGTCCTTTCCAAACTGAAACGGAAACTAATGGTTGGAAAATAAGTTACTGGCTTCTCATTTGGTGGGCATTTGTAGGGCCGAGAATTCGGGCATTGTATTTCCCGTGCTTGGAAAGAACCACTTACAGTCAACTGACTACGCAGACCCTATGGAATCAATAGTTCGTTAAGTCTCCCAAACAGTTTTCGGATTTGTCTAAGTTTACGACTACGTTAAACATATTCGCAGAGTATTTACAGACGTTAGTGCCGTACACCATAATGCACAAGTTATTATTATTGAAATTTCGAAACTACAAAAACTTTCATAGCACGAGACTTACCTTATTATACACATGTTTCTTCTCATGTGTAATTTCTTCATACAACCCAGGGCAGGCTAAGATTTCTTGTACATCCTATTAGCTATCAACAACTATTGACAATGAGAACGTACGCATGATGAGTCTGAATCCGACATTTGCAAATTGGCTAAAGACGAAATTTTCCTAGATGAATTCAATAATCGTACGAGGCTTTGATTCACGCTTCAAAAATCCATTAAAGTTTAAAAACAATTATTTACATTGTTTGGTATATATACTGAGAACTTAACTAGGCGTAAAGTCAAATGCTAACACTTCAGATATCACTTTAGAAAGATCAAAACACTCTGCATGCCTAACAGTACCGCACGTCTTAAAAGTTACTCCAATAACTTCAATCCTCAATTACAGATTACAATTCCACTATGTCCAGAACGAGAGAGCCTACTTAAGCGCTGAAATCAGATTTAGAGTAACTCAAAGGATATCGCACGTTACTCTGAAGAATATTTAGAACGAAGAAGAAGTACCGACAAACTGGGAAGAAAGATAATTGGTCTAGATACCAAAGATAAAATAATACATATTTAGTGGCCACACGACTGTATTATTTCTAGCCAATCTGTCCATTAATTGTAAGTTTGAGTGTATTTAAATCTGGGTGAGCACACCTGTTGAAAAGCAGTAAGGTCTATGGAACTAGAAGCTGTCAAAGGATTAAACTGTATGTATACGAGTTTGATAACGCCTTAACCAGCAACATCTTTATAATCGAAAAGTACCAACCCAGTGAAATCAGAAGTCAGATATGGATAGGTTCGAAGATATATTGTAGTGACTCACATTTATCACGAGAACACAACTGGTTTAATAGAAACAATTATTATTATAACCAACTGTACCAGTGTTTGTTTTAACGTGCTTTTGTTTGACTGTGCTAATGACAGCTATTTTGTGCTTCCATTCTTGTGCACACACTTCGATTGTAACTTCGCGCGAATTCGGTTACCTTCTGTAACCAAGGTTGTATCCTGGCACGATCTCGGTATCCTTTCGATGCCACGAGATCGCCAGCAAATATAACTCGACTTGGTCCATTAATTGCCTTCTGATATTTGGCTTCTCGGGGATTTTATGGAGTCATTTGGAACGAGCTTCTTACGCCTTCTGATCTATTTGGCACGTGTTTCTTGGTAGCGGTGTTCATAGTTAATCACAACTCGACGCCACGCTACAATATATTGATGGGCTATCGATATTTCGAGAAGTGATCAACCTGAACTGGCTAGCGGTTGTGGGCGATGTGAAGAACGGCGTGCCCACTGGTGATCCGGTGTGGATGCGTAACCGTGCGTCTTCAGCTAGTTGAGTTCATTAAAACTAATGAAGACAGAATCAACAACAAAGACTTAAAGAGCTATTGATTCCGGGATTTATTTACCGTTAGAGGCTCGAATCGAGAAAACCACCAATGAGTCCATAAATCTGTAGTGGCCTACTTTTATGAAAAGAATGAGATTGGTATGATAGAAACAATTATTATTATATTCACTTGTAACAGTGTTTGTTTTGCTGTACCCGTTCGTTTAAATGCACTAAAAACACACATTCTTCGTTGTCTGTGACCTTGCACGAACTCGCGTACGCTCAGTAGACCCGCTTGTAAACTTTGGCACGATCTCGGTATTATTTCGATAACACGAGATCACCAGCGAATACATCTTGCTACAATTTTCAATTCTCCTCTGATATTTGGTCTACGGAGGGATCTAGACTGGTAGTTGGCATGTAGTCTACATGTAGTGGTGGTCATAGTCAACCGCTACTGGACTCCACACTACATCTGGTGACCCGAAACTGTGAACACGTTTCAACCTCTGGAAAACTTTCCCAAGAAGACGGTGAGTCCATTTTCTATTTATCCACTTTTGTTGCACATTTTCGCATTGATATTTTTCAATATATGATATCCGGGCAACAACTTGATATGGTGGATGACGATAAGAGTGGCATGAATATAATAGACTCAGATGTACAGGTCACCAATTTCCGACCTATCTCCTTTATTCCCATGATCCATAAGTTTGATTCGCGGCACTGGAATCCCACCTCGAGATCCGCCGCATAACGGATCAACAACAGAAGTGTGCTTACGCTCAGGAAACGCTCCTGGGGATCACATAGCTACTGTTCGTGATGTTGTCCTCAACCCGAATGTATCTAACATTAACGATCATCTCAAGGGGGCGATTCTTAAACATTTCCCCCCGTCGATAGACGAACGATTGGGGGACACTATTAGCACGTCACACCCCGAGTGATGCTAAACCGTGTCACCACCTCACGCGCCTGCAGTCTTTAAGGGGGACCCACGACAGCTGATTCCGAAATAGCTAGGGAATTGTGGCTCGAATCGCTACCAGCAAATATACAACCAGCCGTTACGGTTTTACTCGAGGACACCCCGCTAAACCAGGGGTCTCTCATAACAGATAAGATATTGGCAAGGACTTGCACCCGGGAAAACTATATAGTTGCCCCAACATCACGCTCGACTGTAGATCCGACGCTAGTCACCTTACGGCCAAGATGATGGGGATAACCGTACCATACCCGCCTCAATTTTCCAGACCGTTTCAATATACCAGAACCCTACGTCCCCCGAGGCAGGTCATGCTCCCGTAAAGCCGTAACTACTCGCCCTAAGCGGGAACCTTCCAAGCCACCCCAAGATGTGGCTTCGGAAGCGAATGCGTTTGGTCCTGGTTCCACTGTGCTTTCGGGTCCGGTACCTGCCGTTGCCAAGCTCCCTGCTCGTACAAGGCGGGAAATTCCCGAGCCGGTGAGGAAATGGGGCTGCGCTCGCCGGCCCTTTGCCCCAAGGTGGCCGTCCATTTTATGTGCACGACTAAAGCACTAACGCCAGGTACCTAGTAGATACAGGTGCCCAAGTTTATGTCGTACCTATTGGTAACAGTAAGTCACAAGCTACGATGCTTCGACTATGCGCCGCAAATGGCTCTGTCATTCCTACCAATGGTAAACGACAGCTCATGAACAACCTGGGCAACCGACGACAGTATCTGTAGACGTTCATCATTGCCGATGTTCCCACAGCCATACTAGGTATTGATTTCGTACAGCACTATAAATTGCCAATCGATTCACGTAGGCTGCAGCTAATTGATATTTTTTCGAACAGTAAATTCATGGGCCTCAAAGCTCAAACAAACGCGTACCGAATCTAAGGCGCTTTTCATTGTCGTGACAATATATTCGAAGCTTTATTCGAGAAATTCCCCAACTTATCTAAACCACTCGAGGAGAGCCTGTCGGTTATCAATCGTGTGGTACATCACATAGTCACCCGCGGAACTCAGTCACGGCAAAACCTCGCAACTGGCACCGGGAAATTTAGCTTTCAATAAAAGTGAGTTTGACAGTTTACTAGCTACTGGTATTATTCGTCCTTCTTACGGTCCCTGGGCCTCACCTCCTTACAAGGATGGGGTTGGTTGGAGACCGTGCGGCGACTATCGAGCATTAAACGTAGCTACATGCGTTGATAGCTATCCCATCCCCCACATACACGACTTCACGGTATCACTCAAGGGCACGACTATTTTCCGTAGAATCGATCTTGTACGAGCATATCATCAGATCCCAGTCGCTCTTGAAGAAATCGAGAAAACCGTTACCACGACTCCTTTTGGTCGGTTTGAGTTCCTATGAGTGCCATTTCAATTACGGGATGCTGCTCAAACTTTCCAAAGGTTTATCGATAGCATAGTACGAGACTTAGATTTTTTCACGTCTACATTAATGACCTACCATTCGCAGCACCAAACGTAGATGAACTTTATCAACACCTAATACTCCTATTCCAGCGCCTTTCTGATAGTCAACCCGGACAAGTGTGAACTTGGCAAACAGGAAATAAAATTCTTAGGTCACGTTACTAAGCAAGAGGGTATTTTACCCTGCGAGGACAAAGTACGTGCAGTAGTGGAGTACACCGTTCATACTCAAAGAACTGAAGGCATTTCCTAGTTTAGTTAACTTCTACCGACGTTTCATCCCACATGCAGCAGAACGGTTACGTCCATTAAACAACTTACTTCGCGGTAATCCACGCAAATTAGAATTCAACGATGCCGCACATACTACATGTTCAGAGATCAAAACGGCTCTGGCTCAAGTCACACCTGATCCTGATCCATCAGCCACGCTTAGTATAGCGGTTGATTCATCGGAGTTTACTATAGGAGCCGTTGTGCGGCAGAACATCTCCAGAAGTTGACAACCTCTTGAATTTTTCTCACGACGCCTCACTTGCATGGAGACGAGATATGGGGTTTTTGATCGAGAACAGTTAGCAGCCTACTGTTCCATCAAACATTTCCGGCACTCGGTAAATGGTCGCGATTTTATCTTATTCACCGACCATAAGCCTTTAGCGAATGCTCTGCATAGGAGGTCCGACTGTTACTCACCTCGAGAATGCAGATATTTGGACCATATCTCTGAGTTCATGACGGACCTTCGTCACATTAAAGGCAAGTCGAACTATGTTGCCGATGCTCTGTCACGTATTCAAGCGGATGCAGCTACTTCAACGGCGCTCGATCTTCCTGCTATGGCTGCCGCTCAAGCAGATGATCCCATCTGTACAGAAGCACCACAAACTACATCCCTTCAGTGCCAAGAAGTACCCCTAGCTACCACCTCAGGTACTATCCTACGTGATACCTCTACCGGTCTCCCCCGACCCATCGTACCCTCTGCCTACTGTCGTCTCGTCTTCGATGCCCTGTATGGACTGTTTCATCCAGGTATCTCAGCCACATTACGCCTCATCGCTGCACGATACGTCTGGCCGTCCATGAATAAAGGCGTCCGTATGTGGGTAAAGCAATGCTTACAATGTCAACGATCAAAAGTGCACAGGCACGTAGCTGCCCCCATTGGCACGTTCAGTTCGCCTGATGCTAGCTCCGATCACGTTCACACAGACATTGTGGGACCATTGCCACCATCGCATGGGTATGATCACATACTCACGTGCATCGATCGTTTTACGAGTTGGCCCGAAGCTATTCTCATCACGTCTATTACGGCAGAAACAGTTGGATAGCGCTCTGCGGTTGTCCCTCGACTGTCACGACCGACCGAGGACAAAAATTCGAGTCCGCCTTATTCTACTCACCAACCCGGCTGCTTGGTACGGAACGCATACGCACTACCACCTACCACCCAGCATCAAATGGTTTAGTTGAACGGTTTCATCGCCAACCTAAAATTGCTTTTCGAGCACAAGAAAACAGCAATTGTAACGAAACCTTGTCGCTCATCCTCTTAGGCATCAGAACGAGTTTAAAGGCAGATATTCGATGTTCCGCCGCTGAACTTGTTTACGGCACGATATTGCGTCTGCCTGGGGAATTTTTCACACCACGGAGCAGTAGCGATTTCTGTGAGTCAGACTACGTCCATCGACTGTCTCAATTTGTGCCCACATTGTCTCCGGTATCAACTCGTATACAACATAGACAGGTCGCTCTCCGTCGAGAGTTATCTACCTGTTCAAATGTTTTCATACGGGTAGATTCGGTACGCAAACCTCTGCAACAGCCTTACGAAGGACCTTTTCACGTGACTTCTAGTCGCTAAAAGACTTTCAAGGCTGATCGACATGGCCGTGTCGAGATCGTCAGCATTGATCGTCTCAAACCAGCACACGTCGATGACAGTGCTTTACCCGATAACTCGGGACGCAATGCTAGACCCATCAAACCTACTAGCGGGATCCTTACATCTACTTCAGGTTCCGCTCTAGATACATCAGAGACCTCATTCTCACATCCCGGTCAACAGCACGTGTCAACTGCACCATCTACGGACGAGACTTCAGTCTCACGTCCAGATCAGCAGACCACGCCACCCTTGACTTCGGATGAGATTGCAGGCTCACGAAATGCGAACGAGACTACCATCTCAAGTTCTGGTCGCCGACAACGCCTACCCGTACGTTTTCGCGACTTACCGTACAATCAACAATGGATACGGTGTAGAACTATTCCTATACTGCATGCGTGCTACACTTTGTCACTTTTCTTTTGATTTTTCTTGTATCCTGAGCCCATGCCTCCAACCATCGCCTTTTTGGTATCGTCAACTTCAGTCAACCATGGCGAAAGGTGGTCTGATTGCCCATGCTCTTGTCAACGCACTCAATCGATATTCTGGTTTCGAATCTGCCTCGCATACGCATGGTCTTGAACCTGGTTGTTACGGTCGCTTTCGGTTTCTTGGCTCAACGTGGTTTCGTCCTACGTCTGCAGTGTTTTCTGGTCCGAACACCTACGAACGCAATCTTCAGATCCTGGATACAAACCACTCTGGTATGGTTTACTAACTTGAGCAACAATGACAGTACATTTCTCCTGGTACCGTTCTACGTAAAAGACCTTAGGTGGCAACTTGAGAATCAACGATCGCTTCCTGTTCGCCAACCCTTTCGTCCTACAATCGCACGTCTGCTGATCAGTCCCACGAATGAAACCACCACTTATCGAAAATGTAAACCCTTTCTAGCAAGGGGCTCCTGTAGTGACATACTTTTATCAAGAGAACGCGATTGGTGTATTGGAAACAATTATTATAATAACCAATTGTGTCAGGGATTGTTTTACTGTATTTGTTTGTTGAACTGTACCAAAACATTCATTCTTCCGTTGATTGTGACCTTGCACGAATTCGGTTACGCTCGGTAACCACACTTGTAACCTGGCACGATCTCGGTATTCTTTCGACACCACGAAATTGCCAACAAATACATTTCGACTACAGACATCAACTGCCTTCTGATATTTGGCTTACGGGGGATGTTATCGGTTAACTGGCACGTAGTCTTCCTATGGTGGTGATCATAGTCAACCGCGACTCGGTACCACACTACACTTATGATAGAAGCCCATGATTCTACTTGAATGCGTTAATTTTGCGATTTGCCGACAGTTTCATTGCTGACGTTGTTTACCTAAAGATTTCACTGAAATGTTTGATGCGGGATCGCTGTTTTGTGGCAAAGTGGCGAGTCTGACAGGGAAGTATGGTGAACCAAGCAATGGATTACTTCCAAAGTGTCTGTCTCGTTGTTACTGCCATAGTCACGTTCCTTCAAGTTTAGTAATTCAGAAGGCGATAATACACAACAACTCTCCATAAAAAGTGAGAGACGTTCAAAATGGTGAGGAAGGTACTATTAGAAAAATGTAGAAAAAAAACAAATCTAATACTGCCCGAACAGCACTTCCCAACTGTAACAGGATTTTTCCAAATACCACCTATCACCATAAAAGGAACATTCCTATTAGGCGAGAAACAATATCCTACCCAAGGAATGGTCTGCTCAATCAGCCCCAAAGATGATCGATCAACGAGAAAACAACAGTTGGATTAAAAAAATGTAGTTAACTTCAAGTATTTTGTAGAGCAAGTTCTCAAATCAAACAGCAGATGCGCTTTTAATATTGGCAACATGTATCAGATGTGATAGCCAAAGTATAGATTGCCGATGTGGTATCCGACATAAATGATGTCAAGTAAAACAATGATAAACAGTTCTCAAAAGACACAACAATATCAGATAATTAACGAAGTGTTGGAATTTATAAACAGGGCTCAGTCGAGTTATGAATTCAACCATGAAAAAATTGCTACAATCTCCGCAAATCTCTATTCTGTAAACAATATATTATCAATGATTGAAGCCAAATACAAAAAAGAAGCACATATGCGAAATGATAAAAGTCATAGGAGCAGCAATAAGTACAACGGAATACTGAGATGGTACTAATAAGGAGAAATATAATTTTCCCGTATTTTTGCGAGGACAAACCAAAATGGATTTTACAAAAAGGTTGCCTTTTAGACAGTTGACGTTCACGTAGTTGATGCTGACGTTATTTTCAGTTACGTTGTTGTCAAAGGTCTGTTACTTAGACTGGCGACAAATAACTTTGCAGACCTCTTCGTAGACCGTGTGAAACGCAGAGTGCCTGAAGGCCGTGTAGCATGGGAGTTTATACCTGAATTTAGTGAAGCAAATGAGGGATCTGAGAATTCTTGGAAGTTGGGGGGCCATTTAGTTAACGAGATAAGGTACAGATCACCGAGATCGAAAGTGGTGACCTATTGCCTGAAACGAAGCGATCATCAAGGTCTTTGTTGAAGCATAACATAGTCAAGGTTTCGATCTACGATCTATTGTACTATTTCACGGGATACTGAGACCTGAAATTTACCATCCAGCAGACTAGAACTAGAGCAGTTGAGTAGCTGGATAACCCCTCATTGCGGATTATCAAAAACGTGGAATCATACTGAATCAACATGAAGTGACCACAGAGAAACCAGTCAGTATATGTACGTACGTATCCAAGATATTGGGTATTGAAGATAGAGGTTGCTTGAAAGCTTCAAGGTCAGTTGGAATGCCAAGTTATGAAGTAATATCTCCTCAAGTTGCTTGCCCAACATGTTCCGGAGCAGGCTACGTGCGTAAAGGTATTTTATACGCAAATTGTGTAAAAATTTGTCAGATTCCAGAGCAGAGTATGTGGCTTTAATCCCTCTGACAGACCGACGTCTTCGGCCGCGTAGAATATGCCTTAAACTTTTTGGGTCTGTAGTGATCTGCTCCTTAGTATTTATACTTTTATTGGTATTTCTCTTTCCGCGAACAATCTCTTTGAGAAGTTCAGCGTACAAGTTAATTACGATAAGTGCCATTGCCAACATGCAAGATAATTTGATAGATCTCACAGTGATTGTATGTTCATTTTTCATAACTTGTGAGTACCACGTAGAACCAATTAATGTATCAAATCCTAACTTTGTTCCAACCACAATAACTAAAATTATTGTGTCTCCGAAATACCGTTCAGTGGATCTACAGGAGACTGTTAACAATTCCATTCAGATGCTACCGCTTCGCTCAGAAACTTTACTGAATGTGACAACGAAGTTACTCTTTGAGCATAAACATTTCGATGTAATGTAAGTTGGTAGTTATTTTTCATCTGGATCCATTCCATATACTACAGATTTAGTTACGATCGGTATGTAAAAATAGATGGGCAGGGAAGGGAACAAGATTTAGTTAATTTCAGGAAACAAATTCATGTATAATTGTGTCTACTTCACAGCTGATTCCACTGGAACTTCGTGTGACAGTGTTGTTTAACAAGGGTTACGCTTCGAATGTGGTTTGGCTTATGCTTTGCAACTCTGTTATGCATTATGTCCACTCTTTGCGACAGTGCTTCACTCTACTTAAACTAGTGAATACTACGGGTTTAATACAGCAAACCATATGTTTTATCATTCTTCATATTCGTTGTTCTTAACTACTTTGATCACTTGACTGTATCTCCCAACTTGGTGTGGTGGTGGGGCTTGCTTATTGTGATGACTCAGCCGAGTGATGCTGGCTGGAACATATCTTCCTTTAGGTCCTACCACTTCAGGTTGATTAGTTGGGGTGCAGTAAAACTAAAAGTAACGACTTAATGTTCTACGGCAGGTTCTACTGACCGTAGAGAGGTGTCAAAATAGTAGAGCGTTTCCCTCGAACAACCTCGCCTGTTCCCACGGATTTCTGTCTCCGGCGATAGGTTTCAAGGCGCTGGGGTAACTCTTTAAACTTTTCCCATAAAAACGCCGTGCGCGGCCGGCCTCAAACAGTTATCTCTTAGGCTCTGTGGTCAAGCCCTCAGATCGCTAAAACTATTGCTAACCCAGACTCTTAATCATGTATATCAAGAAGAAATATCCACTAATATTTGGACAGGCAAGAGGTGAGAACCGTCCCCATGCCTCTAACAACATCCAAAGTCACTTTATTCACCATCAAGTCTCCCCTCATCCATTAGTAATCCTCCCATCTTTATGGACAACCCTTTTCGCATATCTCTATCATAACGCGCCACCAATGCTGATGATTTGAGTGGCGAGACTCTAATTTAGCGACGACCTTTGAACGAATCTTAAATGACCTTGACAATTATTAGCCAATCAGAAGACAGTTAGTATAAAGTGAAAATATATTGTAAGTAATGAATTACAGTGGGTATTCTTCTTTTACATGATTTAAAAACTTGTTAAGATTTGATAAAGGTTCAGAGGTTCTGAATTCATAACACACATGGTATAGAAACTCGTCCATAGGGTTAGTGGTTAGAGTTGTAGCCTAGGGTTAGGGTTAAGGCTAGGGGTTAGGGTGCTAACATGCGGTCAGTTTACAACGGATTTTAGAGGTAAGGGTTAGGGTTGGGGTTGTAGCCTGTCAATAAACACCTCTTCTCTAAAATCCGATGTAAACCGATCGCATGTTAGCACCCTAACCTTAACGCTAACCTAAACCCCAAACCCTAACCTTAACCTAACCCTATGGACGAGTTTCTATACAATATGCGTTATGAATTCAGAACTTCTGAGCCGTTATCAAACCTTAACAAGTTTTTTAATCATGTAAAAGAAGAATATCCACTGTAATTCATTACTTTCTTGTAATATATTTTTACTTTATACTGTCTTCTGATTGACTAATAATTGAAATTGCTCAAACGCTTCTCATTGGCTCGTCCCTAAATTAGAGTTTCGCCGTCCCATCTGTTTTAACCTCTCATTAATCACCTCCTCTCTAAAATCCGCTGTGAACCGGCCGTATGTTAGCATCGCGTGTTGAACTTGGCTCCGTGACTTTGAAATTGCTCAAACGCTTCTGATTGGCTCGTCGCTAAATTAGAGTCTCGCCATTTGAGTCTACGAAATGTTATTCCTGGCCTCCTGAAGCCACAATCTAGACATGTTGGAGTTGTTAATGTTTTAACCTTGTCTGATAGAACAACGGGCTACCTTAGCCGGGAATAAAATCTAGTGCCATTGATGTATTCTGCGTCTTTGAAACGCTCATGCGAGATCCAAGTGCGGTCGCCCATTGGAACTCACCTTATCAATATAAAGAACCGGGTCGATTTACTGTTTTTGTGTCTGGGGACCCCGTTGATACTTCCCACTGTTGTTGGTGTAGCATTTATTTCGAAAGTAGAATATAATTCCTTAAACTGAATCCCAATAGACAATCGCTTTTGCACTACCCGATTCAATAGGAAAGTGAAAACTCCAAAAGATGAGTACACATCGTTGCCTCTACCTAAACTCACTAATTACAATTCCAATGAAGTAAAAGATGAATTTTACAGGAAAATTTCCGGCCTTAAGGAAGCTAAATTTCCTGATGTGGTAATAATGGGTGATTTTAATACCTAAGTAAGTAAACTAAACCAAACTGAAAAGCGTTCAAGTGTATTTTACGCTGTTATCGGTCAACAAACATATAGTGCCAACTATGCTCTGATGACCGTCTATCTCTAGGCATAAAGATAAACATCGTTTGACATGGTGACTCACACAATGGACACATTGATTAAATCAAATAGACCACATTGCCATCGAACATTGTTTGGGAGACGATAGAAGACTCGCTCATTCTGGAGCAGATGTTTAGAATCGGGTCATGCTCTAGTTTGAGCACTTATTTCTCTGTATCTTACTGGACGTAGAAAAATCGCAGTATGTAAAACTCCTCGAGCTCGACATAATGATGAGGAACGTAAGAACATATTTTAGGAACAACTAGAGAAGGACATTATTTGTTATTATTACTCGACGTCCAATTTCTGTCATACTACTCGCCCAAATATTGACGAATATTTGCATAAATCAGAGATTTTTAAATATGTTGGTCCAGTTTTAGCAGTTATATTAACTTACATCATTAGAATCTGAGGACGGAACGTAATTCCATTTGAATAGTCTAGATTGCTGATCGTCCCAGTCTGTAAAAAATAACAATTCCCTTGTGACGATCGCTGAGGAATTAGTTTGACTGATATAGTGTCTATTTTGGAGATTTGTGGGGACTGTATTATTTTCAAAGTTGAACTAACGAATCAAAGCTAAGATATTACTTAAGACTACTGCTATTGTGGTAATAGTTTTTAAAAATAAAATCAATGAAACGGTACGAAGAAAAACGGACTTTCGTTTTTTTGTTTTCATTATTTGAATAAACACACAAAATTTATTAAATCAACATTTTAGTAGATACATGGTTAAATTGTAGGCTTAGGCATAACATGTAGATATCCACGTTTGAATAACCGGTTGTGCCCATTTGACGTTTTTGGTTACCTGTGCAGAAGTATCGTTGTTACTTGTCAATTCTGTGATTGTTTTGTCAGGTTAACGGACTAATAACACGTATTGTGGTTCATTATCAAGATAAGTCAGTTTTGACCTATCAATGCTTACTGAGTCGATGTTTCCCTGTTTTTGTACAAAGAAATACTTAGGTTTTCTTGAGATAACTTTTTATGGACCTTCGAATGGAGGACTAAGTGGTGTTTTTACTTCGTCATAACTTATCCAGACGTGTGTGCAATTGTTTAGGACCTTGGGTACATATGTCGATCGCGATTGTTCAAGAGTACTAATTGGTTTAAGTTCGGACATTTGGTACCGTAGTTGGTCAACGTAACTTTCTAAATAAAGCTTTTTACTGTCAGTCGTCCCGTAGATTGGTTCCAATACGTGTTATTAGTCCGTTAACCTGACAAAACAATCACAGAATTGACAAGTAACAACGATACTTCTGCACAGGTAACCAAAAACGTCAAATGGGCACAACCGGTTATTCAAACGTGGATATCTACATGTTATGCCTAAGCCTACAATTTAACCATGTATCTACTAAAATGTTGATTTAATAAATTTTGTGTGTTTATTCAAATAATGAAAACAAAAAAACGAAAGTCCGTTTTTCTTCGTACCGTTTCATTGATTTTATTTTTAAAAACTATTACCACAATAGCAGTAGTCTTAAGTAATATCTTAGCTTTGATTCGTTAGTTCAACTTTAAAAATAATACAATTTGCACAAACCCCCATTCTGATAATAATAATAATAATCATATGCTCACTAGTAACTGACTTCAAGATAAATTTCCTGGAGTTCTAATGTGAAGCCGTGATCAGTAGACTCCAATTTTCGTCGAATGTGAGACAGTTAACCACCTCAGACGCTGAATGAAGGGTTGCGCAAGATCATGGAGCGGTTGAAGTTAAACACTGACACTGTTGTATACCGGCTCAGTGGCTTATAGGCTAGTCATTTGCGCGCGAGACTGAAGTTTGCAGGTTTGATTCCCGTGTGAGGGGTCGTGGATACCCTCTGCTGAGGAGTCCCACGCCAGGACGAAATAACCGTCCAGTTCCTCCAGGTTTAAAATGTTTACTTAACGTATATTGACTCGTAAATCCAACTTTGATAATGTTATCTGAAATATTAACCTTAATAATACTTGGACATGTAACGAGGGTTCGGGAAGAGCGGATCCGAGGAAACTAGGCTGGTTTCAGACGTTTACGTAGATGTATTGAACGGATATTCAGCCTTCGGCAGGTTCTGGAACATAGACGTACTTTCGGCGTATGATAATAGTTGTATTCCCTGACCTTAGTGGGGAGGTCGACTTTGTTCGTAATGTTCTGTGCCAGTGTCTTTCATTGAAATATGTACTAAAGATGTATATTAGCCTTATACTGGCTCTCTGTTCGAACATATAGTGTATTGTCATCGGGGTTGATTTTTTCAAGTGGTGTTCCCCAAGGTTTTCCAACTTACCCATTTTTATTTAACTTTGTCATAGACAGGCTTTTAAATACAACACTTTCATCATCTGGCTTTTCAGTGGTTGTTCTACCAGGAAATCCACTTGCTGACCTAGAATGCGCAGATCATATATTTCTGTTCGGTGAGGATGCTGACAAAATTCAGAGTCTTCTGATCTACCATAAGCAACAATCCGAACATATTTGGGATGTGTCTCCCTCTTTAAGTGCAAAATGTTGGTCCAAAACTTGTTTGAGCTAACGCCTGTACTAGTGATAGGAAGTGAAGTCAGTTAGCCAGTCAATCACAACGTAGAAGCCGGGACTTATTTACTTTAATCATCTTCACACTCGAAAACTTATATTACGACAAAATTCCATTCACTGAGCGAAATTCGACTACTTAAATCTATCAATTGAAGTTTTGAGACAATATGTTTCTTTTCAACTGTTTCCGAGCATCAACATCCTTACCATTTCCCTTACTTAACCTTAATGCTTATGTTCATGTCCATACTGTATTGCCAAAATACATGTGTATGGTCCCAATGTAATAGATTATACTTCATTCTATCATTCAACTTTGGATCTGTCTCCTGAGAATCTTAAGCTCTCTCTTTTCAAACTCGTAAAATATTGTAGAAGTGACCCCCAACTAAGCATGTAACTTTTAGCTCCCGTCATTCATTCAAAGTTTACTGTATGTAGTGTATTGTACATATTAAGATTAAAAGAGATTTTTTAATATTTATAGTATGATTGATATGATAAAAGTTGTGTTAAGTTTAGCTTAAAAATACTTGTCTAACTGTTCTGTTTATCTCCATATATCACACTTTATTCATCAATAACTGTTTCTAGATCAGTTCAAAGTGTAAAGAAGCTAACAAATCACTTCACTTGACACAATGCTGGATAAGTTTTAGTTGTTTGAACGTTATCCACGGGCAGAACACATGTTATTATATCCCCAAAGGTTTCATGACAGTGTTCCTGTCTCGTATTAGTTTGATTCTTGGCTTAATCATAGTTTATTGCTTTTTAACATATACGTTATCCTAAACAGCATTGAGAAATATTGTATACTAACGCAATTTTGGAAGACAAATATTCACTAGAAAAATCACATTGTCTTGATAGCCCCCAAATGCCTTGGTACAGTCGAGAGTGGGGAGAGTCAGCTCTCCTTCTTCAAATGCTCTTACATGACCACGTGTATACAGCCACTGCCAGGGAAGCCCTACTCACTGCCTTCTCGTGACGGTGGTGTTGTTTGCGAAATTGAGAAGAAGAAAAGCAAATGTTTGGCTCATTAACCGGGTTGGTGGACACGGAGGATCCAACTAGGGGAGTTGGAAAACCCTAATTCCAACCAATGGTGTACATGGGCTTCAGGATCCTATCCTGAAGGAACAAATAATTTATGAACCAATCGTTGGTCACGGACTATCATGGGACTGTATCTCCTGACGTTGCTCCACTGCCTTGTGAATTAAACCCTTAGGTCAAAGGCTCCAGGTATGGCCCCCTAAGAAAACCACCTACTTCCGTTTGGGCACCCGGGCAGTATCCCAGCCGTCACACAAATCGAATGATTTATGTGGCGCATATTTATTCGGTGCCCCTTTGTACCAATATTTATGTATTCAAATAAATAAATAAAATTCATGTGATAGGCTATACTGATAGTCATAGTTAGTACATTCATCTATCAAATATTAAATCTAAATAACTGAAATATTTACAAAACCAGATATCTTACTCTAATAAGAATATAGCTGAGATTGAAGAATAATGTCATTAAATTATAACACAACAGTTTCAAAACTTCACTTCTCTTGTGTAACAGTTAAAGTACACAATTCAAACTCTTAACTGATTTTTATAAATCTATTTACATTTATTTATTTTCAGTAAATTATGTCTTATGAAATTACCTTACTTCCATGATATATACGTAACTTTTACGTAAGTATTGATATGGTATATTATTATATTATAATACAATATGTAATTCTTTATTTCATTTAAAGTAATTAATCCCATTTGATAAATTTCGATAGATGTATTAAGAAGATGAAGATTATTGGAACTAATATGATAATAGATTAGTGTAATACATTTCGAAAAATCTTAACAAGTATATATGTGTGAGTGGGTTGGAGAATGCTAATCGTCGGTCTATTTATTTATTTAACACATAAATATTGGTACAAGGAGGCATCAAATATATATGCGCCACACCATATTTGTGTGTGTGTGGGCTATGATACTGCCCGGGTGTCCAGACCGAAGCAGGTGGTTATCTTAGGGGGCCACACCCCGAGCCTTTGACCTAAAGGTCTGATCTACAAGGCAGTGGAGCATCATAAGGAGATGCAGTCCCATAGTAGCCGGTTACTGAAAGTTGGTTCACACGCCATTTGTTCCCGCAGGATACTGGAGCCCATGTGCACCATTGATTTTGTTTGGGGTCCGGTTAAAGCGCCGGATATTCGCTTTTCGTCCTCTCATTTTCGTAAACAACCTCCCCGTCACGAGAAGTCAGCGAGTAGGACTTCCCTGGCAGAGGCTGTATACGCGTGGCCGTGTGAGAGTATTTCGAGAGGGAGAGCGGACTCTCCCCACTCTCGGCCGTACCAGGGCATTTGGGGGCTATTATTGATACATATGAGAAAGATTTATACAATAAATGATATAGTAATACTTAGAACAATCAACAAGACCATGAAGCAAGCATGAGTAATGACTTTGTTTATATATATATATATATATATATATACGGAGAAAGCGTGGTATGACTATAGAAACTGGAGTTATCAGTCAGTTCGCTACGCCACTTTGCTCGATTCTGTGCCTTACTATTGTGACTTTAATCCCGGCTAGTTAACACGCGATTTATTCACCAATCGAAATACGACTTATTTAATCGTATACTGTACTAAACCGATGAGCCTCGACCGGTATGAGCAGCCTAACGTCTTTATTGGTTCTTTGTTCGCCTAGACCTTCCAACTGCGTCCAGAATACCAATAACAGCTTCTACTATGCGAATTATTTATTATAAACATACTTAGTTTATATGCCAGTCAAACAGACCGCATCACACCATAAAATATAAAATGACATTTATACAAGATCAAGCCGAAAAGTGGCTTTGAACATGGGAGACTGTAATCATCAATAAACTGAGTATAAATTTTATTATTATTATTATTATTATTATTAATGATTTAAACACATAAACATTAGTACAAGGAGGCAACAAATAGATGTGCCACATAAATCATTCGATTTATGGGAGGACTGGGATACTGACCGGGTGCCCGAATCAAAGCAGTTAGTTTTCTTAGGAGGCCACACCCGGAGTATTTGACCGAAAGGTCTAATCCACAAAGCAGTGGAGCAACATCAGGAGATGCAGTCCCAATAGTTTGTTCATACGCCATTTGTTCCATCAGGATTCTGGAGCTAGCCCATATACACCATTGGTTTAAAATGAGGGTTTTCCAACTCCCGTAGGTGGACTCTCCGTGTCCACCAACCCGGTTAAAGCACCGAACATTAGCTTTTCGTCCTCTTAATTTCTTAAACAGCACCCCGACCGCGAGAAGGTAGTGAGTAGGACTTCTCTGCCAGTGGTTGTATACGCGTAACCATGTGAGAGCATTTGAAGAAGGAGAGCTGACTCTCCCCACTCTCGACTGTACCAGGGTATTCGGGGTGAATATAACTTAAGAACAGTCAATCGTATCATAATAATCTATAGACCAAAATAAAGCTTATAATAAAAGGAATATAGATATACATAATCTAGTTACTGAATAGTTATACAATAACAATATTAGTTCATGAATCTATGTTCAGTGGTATAGGAGTAGGTTGGAAGAAAGCTAGAGGCGGCCAAACCAAAACATGGCACAAGTCCATGAAGTCACTGACAAGTGGACTGAGCCATGTTGGTAGGTGTAGACTACCTGGTTGGGGACCACGAGATGATAGCAACCGATGGTTAGAGACCCTGAATGACATGGCTCAAAATCGTTTGCAAAGGCGCAGGTGCATCCACTCTTTGTGTTCTCCCAAATTCTAATCTTTTGAATTCTTCATGTCCCTTTTTTTCCTCTTTCCAAATTTATTTCACTGGATTATACTCTTTAAATAACATCTCCAAACCCTAATCTTCCCGATTACTGCTTATACTCTTGCTACATCTACCACTACGGGATCTGAATCGACAACTGCATCTCTATGCTAATGTGGTGTGGCAACTCGAACTGATGTACCTACGTACGTACGAAGTTCTACGTTGTTACTGACTGATTGACTGATTAGTTCATGAATAGTTCTCAAAAGTTACCCATCATTTATTCTTCACTAAGATTTAACACTTACAACAATTAATTCGATTTTAATTATATAAAAAAAAAAACAATCTATTTATCATTTATTCATTCATTCTCTTCTTTTTTTCTTCCCTTATTAGCTTTCATGTTAGTTATACATTATTATGGCAAAATTTTGATGCATATCTTACAATTATGCCATTAGTTGATTGTTATCCAACTAATATGAATATATCGAATATAGAAACTTGATAATGAATATAATTCCATTAGAAGAGAGAGAAAGAGAGAGATCCACTATATTTTCATTTATGCTTTAAATAGATTTTCTTTTCTAATTTACATCTTTTTTTTGTTTCCTTTTTTACATTTTTTCTCTTACTTTTTTCTTCTTTTTTTTTCGTTTCAAATCATTGATGATTTTAACGTTTCCTAATTTTAATCTAATTGGATCTACTAAGATAGATAGATAGAAAGAGAGACAAGAATATCATCATCCTCATTATCACCATGATAATTATGATCATCCCCCCTCTTTTTTTTACTTCATTTGTAAATTAATTGGCAATCATTATTATCATAATAATAAAGATATCAGTGATTTGTAAATGTATTTCTACAGGTTAATTTGTTAAAATTTAATTTTTCATATGAAAACATGAGAAAATCAGACTGGCTTTAAACATAGTTACGTCTGCATCGATCATATATTCTCACTATTTGTCAAGTTTTAGAATACAGTTTATTGTTTATTGGCATCTGACGTTGGTGATATTTTTTAACTTTGTTGACCAAGAGGTTCTGTTATGACTTTATGTTCGGCTAGTTATCACGTGATTTATCCACCAATCGAAATACGACTTATACAATCTTTGCACTGTGCGAAAACCAATGACGTTCGACCGGTATGGGCAGTCTTGCGTCCTTATTGGTCCTATGTTCGCCTAGCTTGTCCACTTGAGTCCAGAACACCAATACCACCTTCCGATATGCAAATCAATTCGAATCGAATCATTTATTTCAGACATACTGAGTTTATATATCAATCAAACAGACCGCAACTCACCATAAAATAGGAAATAACATTTATACATAATGAAGCCAAAAAGTGACTGTGAACGTGGGAGGCAGTAGTCAATAAACTGAACATAGCTTAAGAACCGTAAATCGTACAATAATAATATATAGGTCAAAATAAAGCTTATAACAAGGGGAATATAGATATACATCATCTAGTTATTGAATATTTATACCATGAGAATATATACAAATAATAATAGTCCATTAATAAGTCTCACACGTCACTCGTGATTTAATCTTCGATCGGATATGACAGGTTCTATGATAGTGTCTGTCATTGAAAGGTGTACCTCAGAAGTATATCGTGACACTATAATTTATGCACGATCTTTGAGCGACGCTAGACTGATCTTGAGAGTGTTCACCTAATAACTAGAACCGAATGAGGGTTATAAACCTATGTGAGGAATTCGAATTATGATTTACAGTTGATGGTTAAGGTTAGGAATTAGATTTAGGGTTTTCATCACGAACTGAAATTAGCTATAATGCTAAAACTCTATTTAACCAAATGGATAAGTAAATTTCGTTCCGAAATCAAAAATCTGTTATCTTGTATCTGATTGTTTCGTCCATAAATTATAGTCTCGCTAAGTACTTGTTTAAATGAATCATAAACCTACTAGTGGAAATAACGCCCCGGTCGACTGAATTATTGGGTATTGATCTCCTACAAGGAGGTCCGCTTATCGACATAGAATACGCAAATGATATAGTCCTGTTTGATGAAGACGCTGATAAAAGACAGAATCTTTTGATAGCACTGAGCAACAATGTCAGGATGTTTGGGATGTGCTTCTCCCTCTCTAAATGCCCTAGGACTTGCCCATGTCAATACCTGAACTAAGGATAGGGAGGTGTGGCAACTTGGACCGATGTATAAATGTGTCTGGCTCTACATTGTAGCTGACTGACTGATATAAATTATTATCTATGTTAGATATTCCAATGAAGTAATGGTAGTGTGACATATGCTACTTATACTTGCAGATATAAGTAGTATGTTACACTAGTTTGAAGTGAAATTTTTGTAACTAGAAGGTTGAGAAGATGGAAGTGAAGAGAAGACAGATAGAAACTCAAAGTAATCAAGATAACAACAGGAATGAAAGAATAATAAAGTGTTCGAGAGACTCTTGATGGAAGATGTGCAAATGATGTATTTGAAGTATGATTTTCATATCTTACTTAAACCACTGTGATTATGCTTTAAACAATAAATTGGTCTTCCTCATTTGACATAAACTATTGAAGTTTTGTCTATAGATTGTTTAAAATTAAATCTTTTAATAAACTATACACTTTCTTGTAACACCCTTGTCATACAAACTAAATTGAGAATAAGACAATCTAGATTGATGGTGAAGAAAATATGAGACTTTTGTGAAGTGTTCAATATGACTAGTCTTATTTAGTTTGACTTACTATCAAAGTATGCTTCAAATGAGTTCTATTGTAAAGTTTGTGCTGATGATGTTCAGAGCCGAAAAACAGCAGGCAGGCGAGTCGATGACCATGATAAAAATGTACATATATATACATAGTGAATTGAATGGATCATCGAATCAATTAAGCAACTAATAGTAAGGTTAGCAGAATGAATATACACCTAAGGAGTAAGTAGTGCTCAAGCATACATATTCATACAATGGTATAGATAAGTTGTCATTGTACGGATGACTCTGTCCGTTAAATAAGTTAACAAAAGGGCTTAATCAAATTAAATATGAACAAACTCAATTGCACATGAGCTACTATAACCTGTATAAGTAATGTTAAGTTCAGGTGCCTCACGCAAGTTGTAACTCAACCTATGTTGAATTTCTAATACATAAAAATTACTAGTTTGAACGTACTTAGTTTTAACAGTGATTTTTATATCTGAATGCATTCGTTTATGTTGGGTGGACCCAGAAAATTCCTCGAAAAAAACTTAAAGGGACCCTGACAACGCTGATAAACATCTTATCCAATCAGCATTCAATAGAAGTTTCGCAGAAACACCTGTAAAGTGAGAAGTCACATTTCTGACTGGATGATTAGGTGAGACTATAATTTATGGACGACCTTTGAGGGACGCTAAAGTGACCTTGAGAGTGCCTACCTATTTACTAAGGTTAAATGAGGGTTACATTAGTTTGAACGATAAGGATTATGATTTACAGTTGAATGTTAGGAATTAGGCTTGGAGTTTTCTTCACGAACTGACATCAGCGATAATGCCAAGACTATTTAGCCAAATGGGTGAATGAATATCGCGCCAAAATTTAAGATCTGTTATCGTAAACCTGACTGGTTCCCCTATAAATTATAGTCTCGCCGATGATTATCTGTCCTACTACTATGTTTAGAAGAGTTCCAGAAGCGCAAGGCCATCTAAAATGCTATAAATACCCTTGGTTTTCTGTACATAAACTAACTTTAGAGTAAAGCGTCCTTCCATATTTTGCGCTTTTTCTCTCGTGCTGAAGTTGTCGTGTTGTTTTAGCCTGGAGGTTACTAAAATAACTTAGTAAACCTGATCAAGCGTCCAATTGGAAGATTTATCAGTTTACACTGACCATTTATTCATTTAAACACAAACATTCGTACATGGAGACACAAAACAGATATGCCCACAGAAGTCACTTGGTTTGTGTGTAGGCTGTGATACGGCCCAGGAGCCCAAAACGAAGCAGGTGGTTTTCTTAGGGGGCAACACCTGGAGCCTTCGACCTAACTATCTCATCCACAAGGCAGTGGAGCAACGTTAGGAGATGCATTCTCATGTTAACCGGCGACCAATAGTTGGTTCATACATCATTTGTTCCTTCAGGATAGGATCCTGAAGCCCATGTACACGATTTGTTTGGGATGAGGGTTTTCTGACTCCCCTAGGTGGGTCCTGCGTATGCATATGTCAGTAATAAAACATGGAATGAACCAAAGGAAGTATATAATCGCCTCTGAATATAGAAATGAGCTCTCGAAAACGTGGATTATTAGAAACATTCAACTTAATAGGATTGGAACTACAAAAATTAGTATTACATGAGGCGTGATGTATGGTAGTTTTACAAACTGACTGATTGTGTCCAATTTTACCACATTCAAAGCAAATAGCATAACGAAATACACATTGATTACATGAGTGAAATTCGTCACAGGACAAATATTTACCAAACTTGTGCTCACATCTATGATCTGCTTTAAAATTTCTTGTTGACTCACTTCATATATTTCCACGAGAATAAAAACCATTATTAAACAAACGCGATTTTGAACAACGCCGAGAGTGTAGTTCATCACGACGAATAAGCAAAGTATTAGAAATTTCCACTGACTGAAAATAGTTAGTATAGGCTGTTTCAATTTCTTGAAATGAACTTTTAAGCTTCTGAATTAATTCTTCTTATAAATTCGGAACATTCATACCAGCAATCAACCGATCACGAGTTGAGTTTTTTATTAGTCTCTAAAATTCCACTTTGTGGTCTGTTTCTGTAGTTTGAGTATAAAGTCTTTAACTTTTTCATTATTTTATGAAATGTTGATCTCTCTCTTCATTCCAAGCTAGCACACTGCACATGACTAAGAAGTAATTTCTTGGAAGATTCATATGACAATGCAATCAGTTTCTCTGAAAAAACTCAGATTCTTTAGCAGGTTATTAGCTTCTTTGTCTACGAACGTCAAGAAATAAAATGTGAATTTATCATCTTTAATCTGTTTCCTAGTCATGCAGCAAATTTCGGACCGCTCCATATAGTCTTCAAAGTAATCCCTACTTGGATTAATATCCAACTGTCCAAGATTTAACACCATCGCAACACCAATATAATGATTAGAAGTATTCGAATTAATATACTAACTGGGAATTCCAGAAATAGTGCAATTTAAGGCATATACAACTAGATAAGTACAAAAGAACATATTCTATACAGAATTCATAATCAGTGGTCAATCAAGTACAAACGAATCATTCGTTCATACAAACACCACATTTCATTAAATTATTTGTTAGAAAAAGATTATACTTGCTGGTTTTGACTAAAACTCTGTGTGTGTGTGTGTGTGTCTGTGACAGAATAGGGATTTATTTAAGAAACTTATCTCTAACTAATTAATTCCCATGTATTGAATTCACTGACATCTAAAGAAAAAGTAGGTGTTTGTTTGAAGGTGTAACGTAA